ACCAGCCTTGATACAGGTAAACAAATGCATAGCAATAGCGAATTCGGGGAGCACAAAGAACCCTCGTTCCTCAATACCCGTGAGCGTCCAAAAGTCTCTTATCGTTTCCTTGGGCAACCCGAATTTCTCAAAGATCAGTCTGGCCTGTTCAACGTGAAGTCTGCCAGCTTGCAGCGGCAGGCGCTCAAATATCGCAGCATATTCTGACACCTTGTCCGGAGTCAAGTATGGTATTCGGACGGCGCCACCACTTGCTTGAGCTTGCAGCGGCGCTGGGCTTGACGAGGTGGGCGAACCCAGCGCCGGCGATGTCCACAAGCCCTCGAATCGAGGTATCGGGCCTTGTTGGAGGGCTAGTTCGGCTGTCGGTTCCCGTCCGGCTTGAGCATGGCCGATCAAACGTAGAAAAACGCTGAAGCCTGTCGGCGTGAGGAAACCACGGTCCTCACTGTCCGCGATCTGCCATATCTGATAGAGGGTAATCGTTAGTCGGATGTGGCGGAAGACTAGGGAAGCCGGTGACGAACTGTTTGGCACTGATCATTCCGAAGTCTTGTTTTCTCAGCCAACGCCACGACGGCATCGCCAGTGACAAATCCAGCGCCTTCTGCATCAGCTTGGCGAAATAGCTGTGCATAGACTCGCTTCTCTTCGGGGGAGAGGTTGAGATTCGGCGGCGCTGCAGGCACTTTTGAGGTTAACTTGGACCGTTTTCAATCAGAATTGAAAATAGTCAAGGAAGTGGAATCGGCATACCAGAATCGGCGCCAAGGTCAGCAGACATTATGATGCATGGATGATCCAAGAGCTTGAGGTCAATGATGAGGGTTGGGAGGGGAGGAGTTGTTGGGTTGTCGTCGTCACCGTGGCTGGGCTGAATGGATTCGTCTGGTACTCCGTGCAGTCTCGGTGCTCCTGACGGTTGAGTTCAAAGGCAAAGATTTGCAATCTATGTGCGCCAAACAACGTTGGACGACCGTTGGGTCGAAGCGCTATGATGGAGAAGAGGCAAGCCAGGAGCCAGGAAACTTAAATCAGGTTGGAATTGGGAGACTGCGATCAGCCTGGGGGGCTGGAGTCTGGTGGAGAGCTGTGATTCGGTGGCTGTCACCGAGACGAGCGGTTGGGGAACCCATGGTGTTGGTCGACCAAAGTGTGGCTGGTGAAAGCGCACTCCAGGAACGTGGCTGTGGCTGCAGGTGCAACGGAAAAGACGAGGCGTCAGACCTGACTGCATTGTGAACATGTCGAATGATGAGAGAATGCACGGCAATTCTGAAATGCTGCACAAAATGGGAGAAATATACAGAGCACATGAGCCGAATGTTCATTAGCAGCACCTCCCATCACCTGGTTTGACAATCTCACGTCTCGATGCCGAGTCAGAATTGGAAATTCCTTCGTCCTCGGAGTTTGTGGGGCCCCATTAGCAAGGCGTGCTCTCCAGCTCAATGATTGGCCGGGGTTTCCCGTCGTTTATGTCGCAATCCCAATGATTTGACATGGTCGCAGTCGAATCCGAAGGTGAATTTCAAATCATTCCCGAGCTATTGTGCGGAATTATATATGCCATCTAGCCTAAATCCAGTGATTCCAGACGGTGCTTGTAGTCTCTTTGCGCCACCCTCAAGCTGCAGCTCAGTCGTCATACGCCTAGAGTCGCTCCCCCGTCACATTGCATTGCTCGCAGACACAGATTACTCAGCCAACCTTGAGGGATCTTCCGTCAATCGGCGCTAGATCGGGTTCTCCGGCCAAGCTCGCATATACATATTCTTCTTTCGTTCTGAATAACTCAAATACTTCTGATCCGGGATAAAAGACGTCATTGCGGTCCAATACCCACCATTCCCCTCGGTTCGTTCCGTCATTCACATAAAAGGGGAGCTCGCTCATCCTGACTTGGGAAAGCCTTTACACATATGCAAGATAGCCCTAGTCGTCCATGCAATCCCTCGCCCTCTTGTCCCGCACTTCAAGAGCTGCCCCGCATCGCATAGCTTCTTTGTCCCGCCATCTCTCTACATCGTCTGCGACAATGGCTCCCATAACGAAGGAAACGGATTACCTTGTGCTTGGTGGTGGTAGTGGTGGTCTTGGCTCGGCCCGCATGGCCAGTTCCAAGTTTGGCGCAAAGGCAATGGTTGTCGAAGCCGCCCGACTCGGCGGGACGTGCGTGAACGTTGGGTAAGTTGATAATCCGGGTCTGTTTCTAAGTACGAGACTTTGTATGTGAGGATTTCTTGCTGACTAGTGTTGTCGTGATGTGTAGATGTGTTCCCAAAAAGGTTACGTACAATGCCGCTGCCATCGCCGAGACTCTTCACGAGGCCAAGTCTTATGGCTTTTCCGTCACAGAAACCGCTCCTTTCGACTGGACCACCTTCAAGAATAAGCGTGATGCCTACGTTAAGCGTCTGAACGGCATATACGAGCGCAACCTTGGGAACGACAAGGTCGAGTACCTGCACGGCTGGGGTCGGCTGCTGTCCAAGAACCAAGTCGAGGTTACGTTAGACGACGGTAGCAAAGTTGTCGTCAATGCCAAGAAGATTCTCATCGCCGTCGGCGGCCGCCCGAGCTCCCCCCCACAGATTCCCGGTGCGGAGCTGGGCATCAACAGCGATGGATTCTTCGACATTGACAAGCGGCCCAAGAAGGTTGCCATCGTTGGAGCTGGCTACATCGCCGTTGAGTTTGCGGGCATGTTCAACGCTCTTGGCACGGAAACCCACCTTTTCATCCGCGGCAAAACTTTCTTGCGCCATTTCGACCCGATGATTCAGGAGACGGTTACCAATGAGTACGAGAGACTCGGGGTTAACCTGCACAAGGAGTCACAGGCCACCAAGATTGAGAAAAACGCCAACGGCAAGCTTACCGTCACCTACAAGGATGCCGAGGGAAAGGAGAGCTCCGTTTCGGATGTTGACCACCTTATCTGGGCCGTTGGGCGAACCCCCATGACCAAGGATATTGGCTTGGAAGAAGCTGGCATCAAACTGACAGAAAGTGGTCATGTTCAGGTCGATGAGTACCAAAACAGCAGTGTAGAGAATATCTACGCCCTCGGTGATGTCAGTGGAGAGGTAGAGCTTACCCCCGTCGCCATCGCCGCTGGCCGTAAACTGGCGCAGCGCCTGTTTGGACCTGCGGAATTTTCCACCCAAAAGCTCGACTACAGCAACATTCCATCCGTCGTATTCGCACACCCCGAAGTCGGTAGCATTGGCCTCTCGGAATCTCAGGCTATCGAGAAATACGGCAAGGACAATATCAAGGTCTACAAGACGGGTTTTACAGCCATGTACTACGCCATGATGGAGCCCGAGCACAAGGGTCCAACCAACTACAAATTAATTGTTACTGGTCCTGAGGAGCGGGTAGTCGGCCTGCATATTATGGGTCAGGGCAGTGGTGAGATGCTCCAGGGATTCGGTGTCGCTGTCAAGATGGGTGCCACCAAGGCAGACTTTGACAGCTGTGTGGCCATCCACCCGACCAGCGCTGAGGAATTGGTGACTTTGAAATAAACAGCGCGTGAAGCAGACTAGATTAGAAAGAGTAAAAGAGCGATATAGTTTCAATGTAAATCTTGTTCACCTTTCATAGCTGTCATTTGCTCGCGTAAAGAGTCGTGGTCCCTCATCTTTACCAGCCACTTGACTGAAAGAATTGAGGCCGTTGACCAGCCCTTGGTATTTTGTAACCTACAATCTGAGATATCTGGGAACGTGATACGCAGCCGCGAATAGCATTCTTTTCACGGTTGAGGACAGGTGCTTCGAGGCGGACTCCGTAGGCCCTACAGTCTGAGAAAGAATATATTTGCGAATATAGAAGTACCACACTAACTTGCTGCAGCATATTGTAGCATAGGAGTCTGGCGCGACAACTGCCTACTACTTGGTACCTAGACCATCAATTGATTTAATTTGATGAAATACCCTCAGTCCAGGCTGGTACTTCTTGCCTGCATTGCTCGGTGGGTCCCCTGTTGATGCAACTCGACTTCTGCACGCCACTGCCCACGTCGTATTGACTTCGAACAAGGCTCGGGCGAGATGCAGTGCTCTAGATCAACACCTTTTCTGTGCTGGCTGTGAATCAATGGCCTCCAATGGCTAAGCCACTGATCTCTTTGCGTTACGAAGATGGTCGTGGGCTGTGGCCGTGTCGCGACATCGTGCTCAGGGCTTGGGCTAGGAGAAGCAAGGACATCTGAACATGATCTATTGACGGCTTTGTTGTTAGCACGAATACGCCGGCCATGGAGCATGCAAAGCGCGTACGCGAATGCGAGTTCTCGATTCTGACTCTATTGCCTTCGGGGCATGCTATAAACAGCATTTGAGCTCCCTACCTACCTATAGGTACCTTGAATGGCCCGGTTGCTGCTGTCAGCAGCGACTCGACACAGGACGCCGACAACATACGTCGTCCATCGGCGTTCGACAGCGTCCATCAACCTACGGGCCAATCAACCCGTTCAAAGTCTGGCAGAATGAGCGTGAGTGGCCGATTAGTCGGTCCACGGTCAACAGTGCAAGAGGAAAGATGATGAGTGGGCGACACAGCGTGGCGCCTGCATGAGAACGAGTTTGTTGGGCGAGGCATATTTCTTCAACAGCACGTAAGCGGGCAGTGTCAAGTACCTAGGTAGGGCGCCGCTGCAGATGGCTGATCATTGACGGATTGCTGACCGGCCTTATTTCTGCCTAATTTGTTCAATCACTGTTGAGCAATACGCAGCAATATCGTCGTGACTTCTGTCGTTGAGCTTTGCACAGATGCGGCCGTCCTACTGACACCCATTGGAGGGACCAGTTGCGCTGTCGAATTGCCCTTCGTGCGGCGTCTATAGCAAGCTGCAACTCCAACCTTTGTCTTGGTAGCGCGGACAACACACCGAGCGGTTCCCGATTCTTCACCGGAATAATCTGTCCCGGAGGCCTCACTTATTGACCTGCTTTCATACCAATAATTAACGCCATTAGATGATGCCGAAGCGAACGTTTGAGCCCGAGAGTGATGGCGAAGTCGTATGTGGCCCAGTAAAGAGGAGGAATACAGATTATGCAGATACGCAGACACCAACCCTGGTCGGCGTGTCTCCGGAGGCCATGGACAACGATGAATACACAGTTGGTTGGATCTGTGCCTTAAGCACAGAGTATGTTGCCGCACAAGCTTTCCTCGATGAAACGCACAAGGGACCAAGATTTGTGTCCCCATATGACCATAATCATTACACTCTGGGTCGTATGGGGAATCACCATATCGTCATTGCAGTCTTACCTAGCGGCGAGTATGGCATTGCCTCTGCAGCTATTGTGGCCAAAGATATGCTCCATAGCTTTCCCAATATCAAGATTGGCCTTATGGTCGGCATCGGCGGCGGCGCGCCAAGCCAGAAGCACGATATACGTCTTGGCGACGTTGTGGTTAGTGACCCCAGAGATGGGATAGGTGGTGTGTTCCAGTACGACTTCGGCAAGATACTTCAGGATCAGATGAAAGACGTGGAATTCCGCACAACGGGTTTTCTAAACCAGCCGCCAATCGTCCTACGAACTGCAGTAAGTGGGATAAAGGCACGTCATGAGATGCATGGGCATCGGCTAAAAGAGGCCATTAACAACACTCTCAAGAAGATACCAAGATTGCAGCAGGAGTATAAGCGACCAGACCCATGCAGCGACAGGTTGTATCGATGCGAGTTCACCCATCCTGTAAGCGGTGGCTTAAGTTGTACCGCAGTCTGTGGTAACGATCCCTCAAAGTTAATATCTCGTCCGGAACGGACCAGAGACGGGGACACGCCGAACATTCACTACGGACTAATTGCTTCGGCGAACCAGTTAATGAAGAACGCTCAGGTTCGAGATAGACTGGCATTAAAAAAGAATATTTTATGTTTTGAAATGGAAGCGGCAGGATTAATGAGCAGCTTCCCTTGTCTAATTATTCGGGGTATCTGCGACTACTCAGATTCTCATAAGAATGAAGAGTGGCAAGGGTATGCAGCGATGGCAGCGGCTGCGTATGCGAAGGATCTTCTCAGTCAAATTCCTTCAAATAGCGCCGAGAATCTCCGCAGGACATCAAGTGGCATCTCATTACGGCCCAGAAGAGGAGAGAATCAATCGCTCAATGACGAGCAAAGACGTGTGCTACTGGAGTCGCTGCGATTTGACCAAATCGATGCCCGGCAGATGACCATCAAGAACGCTCATGCCAAGACCTGTAAATGGCTGCTACAGACGCCTGCATATCTTGACTGGCTTGACCCCAATAAGTTCAACGAACATTTCGGGTTTTTGTGGATCAAAGGGAAGCCTGGGGCCGGGAAATCGACATTAATGAAGTTTGCTCTTGCTAATGCTCGGAAGAAGACAAAGGGCAAGATTATCATCTCTTTTTTCTTCAACGCGCGAGGAAGTGATCTCGAGAAGTCCACAATTGGATTATACCGGTCTATACTGCTACAGCTTCTCGACCGACTGCCTGGACTCCAGGAAGTCCTTGATTCTCTCCCATCAGCAATTCGGGACAGTGGATATGACCAATGGCGGGTTGAATCGCTGAAAGCACTTTTCGAAAAAGCCGTGCAGGGTCTTGGAGAGACCGGCCTTATGTGTTTTATTGACGCCTTGGATGAATGTGATGAGGATCAAATCCGAGATATGATATCGTTCTTTGAATCGTTGAGCCAAACAACCACGCCAGCCGGTATTAGCTTTCGGGTCTGCTTTTCAAGCAGGCACTACCCGCACATTTCCATTAAGAGAGGACTTAACCTAATTCTCGAAGGACACGAAGGACATGGCCAGGATATCGTCAACTACGTGGACAGCGAGTTGACAATTGGACACAGTCGTCTTGCCGCGCAGATCCGTGCTGACCTGCAAGAAAAGGCATCTGGAGTTTTTATGTGGGTTGTCCTAGTGGTGGGAATCTTGAACAAAGCGCATGACAAAGGCCGCATTCATGAGTTACGAAAAATACTCCGAGATATTCCTGGGGACCTTCACGAGCTGTTTCGCGATATTTTAACGCGGGACTGCCATAAAAGGGACGAACTGCTTTTGTGTATTCAGTGGGTGCTCTTTTCGAGACAGCCGTTAAAGCCGGAACAGTTATACTTTGCCATCCTGTCTGGCATTGAACCAGGGGCTCTTTCTGACTGGAATCCTGATGAAATTACAGTATCTATTATGAAGAATTTCATCCTTGATTCCTCTAAAGGGCTTACCGAAGTCACTAAATCTAAAAACCCAACAATTCAGTTTATTCACGAGTCGGTTAAGGATTTTCTTCTAAAAGAAAATGGGTTAAGGGAGATTTGGTCCGATTTTGGAGAAAACTTTCAAGGAGAAAGTCATGAACGACTAAAGCAGTGTTGCCTCAGGTATATGAGCCTTGATATAGCTGCCCATTTAAATATCGGCAGCTCGCTTCCGAAAGCATCATCCCAGGAAGCTGCAGAGCTCCGCCAGTCGGCAGATACATCATTTCCATTGCTTGAGTACGCTGTACGAAACGTTTTATACCACGCGGATGCGGCAGAAGGCGGTGGAATCGCCCAGACAAGTTTTCTTCAGACCTTCCCGCAGGCTGACTGGATTAAGCTTGACAACTTGTTTGAACGACACGAGGTACGCCGACATACAAATGCGAGTCTTTTATATATATTAGCGGAGCATAATATGGCGAATCTCATCGGACGTCACCCGTCCAACCTAGCGGGCTTTGAAGTACAAGATGAACGTTATGGCACACCAATTTTTGCGGCGCTAGCTACCAATAGCGGCGCGGCAACTCGGGCGCTGTTAAAAGCCCAGGTGGAAATCAACCCAGCGATGTCTCCTATTCACAGCCTGTTTGAACAGTATTACCCGGATGGAAACAAACGATCCAACTTCGGACGTGACTTCACTTTTTCACGGCTAAGAGGGGTTCTCAGTTATCTCGCAGAGCATGGCGAAGAGGTAATAATGCTTGCATTTCTGCTGGCTGTTAGAGGCGCCGATATCGACATCGGGGATAGAGACCGACGGACGCCGCTATCGTGGGCCGCTAAGAACGGGCACAAGGCCGTGGTGAAGCTGCTCCTTGAGAAGGGCGCTAATACTGAGACCACAGAGAGCCACCGCGGCCAGACGCCGCTATTATGGGCCGCTGAGAACGGGGACGAGGCCGTGGTGAAGCTGCTCCTTGAGAAGGGCGCTGATATTGAGGGCAAGGAAGGACCGACGCCGCTATCGTGGGCCGCTGAGAACGGGCATAAGGCCGTGGTAAAGCTGCTCCTTGAGAAGGGCGCCGATACTGAGACTAGAATGAGCTACTACGGCCAGACTCCGCTATTATGGGCCGCTGAGAACGGGCACGAGGCCGTGGTAAGGCTGCTCCTTGAGAAGGGCGCTAATATTAAGGCCAAAGATGAGAAAGGACAGACGCCGGTGTCGTTGGCCGCCAAGAAGGGATACTGGAGTGTCATCGAGCTACTACGACAATACTCCCCATAACCGCTAGACGATGCACTTGCCTCACTTCGAAGAAACATAATCCACACATCCTGTCACAAGTCTGAAAACCGTCCCCAGTCACTATAGTGCATTGATGTGAGGCAGCGTTGCGTTTTCCACCCCAAGTCAGACTCTGTGCATTAGATGCTCCTTCAATACGTTTGTCAGAGGCGGTTTGAAGGTGTCCAGGCATATCTATATACGAACAACGTTGATCTCATGTGTGTGGGAGTAGCACTTCAATTCGATTTCGAGTTTCAAGTGGCACTAAGCTTTGCGGCGCGTGGTGTGCGGGAGTCCAGCTGAATATGGCATCCGCAGACACTAGACGGATTTCTCAACCCATCTATAAATGGAAAGATATTTACTGGGAGTTTTGTTTTAATTGGCGCTTTATTTTCAGTCAAGTAACAGGGTATTACGTTATAGGACATGTCAAGATGATGAACTGTTTGGGACCGAACTGGCAAGATTATCACTTGCTGAAGCATAATTAGCCATTGTCCATTTTCACCGCCAGTGTAGTTGAAGTTGCGCAGAGATGCCCCTGCTTAAATGGATTAATACAGAGCTTGTAGTTTGATGCCCACAGATACCACACTGTGGAGGAAAATTCAGCCAGTATAGGCGTCTAGAGTGGCCAAGAGAGAATTATACTTTGTAGGCTGCTCATACCATGGATTATAGAAATCTTAGGGCTTAAGTAAGTAGAAAAGACTGAGACAAATGTGTCCAATGCACTCTGCTGAGCAGGAGTAGGAGATGTAGCTGCACCTAGACAGTTATTCGGAGCAGTCAAAAACAGTACTTAATGCATGACATTAACGTATATAGAGCTGGAGAAACCTATACCGTACGAGAAGAGCAGGGTTCGAGAGCAAATAAAAGAAGTTGAGTTGGTGGCGACCACTTGTTGGATCCCAGTCTTACGTCTTGCGTCTTGCCAGAGTGGCAATCTCTACGCGGGATCAAAATCGCCCCCTTCCATGGTTTCCTTGACTTATGAATTTCAGATTTACCGTCACTCGAAGCACACTCTCTCCCTATACATTAGGACAGCCAGCACCACGGGGGCTAAGAGTTATCGCCGGCCCCGACCTCCTCCAAGCTTGACAAGACGCATTCGCCAGCCCGGTGCGCCGACATTGGACTTATCGTCGAGATTCCTCCTCGTTCCCGAAGCGGAATTAATGCTGAGAATATCCTCTGTGGTGCTGTGACTGCCTGCCACTCGCCTGGACGAACGAAGCAACGGCTAGAACGCCCCGACCCGTGGAGGGAATCAAGGCATTGAAGAGGCCGAGGTCTCGGATGTTGCCACGCTGATTATACAAGGGACCCCGTCGCTGACGATACGCGAAGGCGATGATGGCGTCGGGACTGGAAGCGCCCATCGACTCGATGGCCGTCTTGGTAGGTTGTCTCGCTGCTGTCAATGCTCGCTTTGTAGTAAGGAGGCGCCAATTCTCCTTCTATAGGCCCTGCCCGCGTCGAGGAAAGCTGGGTGCTTTTATAAAAGAGTCTTAAACCTTCCAAGTCTGATCCCAGCAGCTAAACACTATAAATCTCGTAGCTATGCGAATCGCGGTAGCCAAGTCTAGACTGTTACAGTGGATGGTCATTTCGACCTAGGTAGAAACTAAGACGAAGCATGCATTGGGCATATATTGCTGAATTTAATGCTCATGCCATGCACCAAGGAAATAAATATAGGCGTAGGTTGTTTAACCAAACATTAAGGGCTAGTTCTAGGGTCAACAATTCTAACAATATGTCGAACATTTAGTAGTTAAAGTAAGAGTTTCTACAGGGAGTGTTTTTATTGTTGAACTGGACAAGGCATAAGGCCTCCTCGATACCTCTTAGCAAAGCTATAATGCTATAATGGAATGAGTCTTAGTATATCTGATGTTGTGTATGCAGAAAAGGTGCCGCACGCGACGCTTGTATTCTGGCTCAAGTATATTCCACGAATAACTATCCCCTTGTCAGCAAGAGTAATGTGAGGAGCAAATTTGTCTGCTTGCTAAAGCGTCAACACCACCAACTACCTAGGTATTAAATAGTCGACATTTTCTCAGGGTGTCACAATGTTAAATGCACTGTTAGGCACCTGGATGAAGGCTATGGCCTTTTCCCACGCTCCGACTTCCCCCGAGGTCACGACCTGGTAGGCAGTAATCTCAGCCTTCTTGCCCACCGCGGCGGTCCCGACAGCCGTGACCAGAGTCTCGTGCGCTAGCCAGACTGTCAGATCCGATTTGCTGTCCTTGAGGTCCTTAAACGCGACATAGGGAATCTCGTGCCCCGTCATGGCGCCGTTGCTCAATCTCATGTGCCACCCCATCTGACCTTTTCCTGGGACCGAATTTCGCGGCATATCTTCCACCATGAAGTCAATCGTGATTTTGCCTTCAAAGGCAAACGCCTCTGGGCCATTGATACGGATAGCCATTGTGTCAAAAAGTTGATCTAGATTGAGTGCCATCAGGGACGCCGGCGTCATGGTGTTGACGGCCGGCTTCGGTTCATTTTGCAGCTCGTACGCTCCGGTAAGATATATGTTGCGCCAGGTTCCGTTCTCTGCGCTCTGTCCGAGCTTTTGGTAAACAGATATCAGTTCATTCTTTGCGTCTACGTTATCGGGATACGCAAAGATTAATTTATCCAAGAGAGTGGCTGCAAATCGTAGCTTTGAGTCGATGTTCTCGGAGACGTATGCCTTGGCCTTTTCCAGAACAACTTTTGGCCCACCCATGCACTTCACGTACTCAACCGCTTCATCAGTCGGTTCGAGTTTCCATAAATTTGCAGGGTTGCCATCAAACCAACCCATGTATTTATCGTAAATGGCCTTGACATTGTGACTAACTGAGCCGTAGTAGCCGCGCAGGTTGGTCCGAAGGCTCAGATTGGGCGGAGTCTTGATCTGTTCTGCGATTTCAACGGGGGTGCTGCCGTTGTTCAGCAGGCGCAGGGTCTCATTGTGAAGGTAGCATAGTAGTCACGTTGTTCCGACAGAAAAGTCACAATCAAGTTGTGCGGCTTTTCGACGTGATCGTCCTGAATGCCACTGCCCGCGCTATCGTGCTTCCATGTAGGCCAGTGGTGACTGGAGAAGACTACATCGGACTTGTGTCCAAACAGGGAGATGGACTCGTCGAGATAGCGAGACCAGAGTCTGGCGTCACGAACCGGCGCACCTCGCAGCGTCTGGATGTTATGTAACGTGTGTGTTGCGTTCTCCGCCATACACAGGGCATTATAAGCCGGGAAGTAAAAGTTCACTTCGGCGGGCGCCTCCGTCCCCGGAGTTAATTGGCAGATAATTTCAAGCTCTTTAATGCCGGGCTTTAGGGCACCGTCCTGGGTGATGCTCTGGTTAGGTGCCACCAACGAGCTACGTCCCGTTGATAGCCCCTGGCCGAGGCCACAGCCGATCTGACCATTGGGAGATTTTGGCAAGGCCTCCCCGTACATATAGATGGACCGTCGAGACATGGCCGCCCCGGCGTATACATTCTCACTAACGGCATGTTCAAGGAAGCCATCGGGACCGATAATTCGGAGATCCTTGCCAGCCACGTCCACGATAGCTTGGGCGCCTCCGAAATGGTCCACGTGGTTGTGAGTGTAAAAGAGGGCAACAATCTCCGCTTGGCGTTGGAATCGCCCCTTGTGGTAGTCCTGGTAGAGCTGAATGGCTGCACTTGCGGTTTCCACAGATGTCAAGCAGTCGATTATGATGATCTTGTTTTTGTCTGAAGGAATCTGAACAATGTTCATATTGGCAAGGTCAAGCCCGCGGACCTGATAAATGCCGTCAACGACTTGATACAGACCTGCCGTCGCGCTGCAGAGCTGGCCCTGTCGCCACAGAGACTTGTTGGCGGTCGGGGGACAATCTTGCTGCATAAAGTCGTAGGCACTAGCATCCCAGACAACGTTGTTGTTCGAGTCATAGATGCGCGGATTGTTCAATTTGGCCAGGAGGCCACGCTGGGCAAACTCGAAGTCGTGGTTATCGGTATCGATGGTATCGACGGGGAGAGACATGGCTGCGAATAGAGCTGAATCTTGGCGTAAGAATGCAGAAGATGATGTAGTTGGATGGTTTAGAACATCAACTGTGAATCTGAAAGGCGGGATGTATCAAATTTATATTTTTCACGACGTGCTGCCGCTCCACGGTCATGGAAACGAGACGTATGCCCGAGACTGGCTCCTTCTCGGACTCAATCTCGCGCATCGCCCGAATCAGTCGAGATGCATGTCGAGTTGCTTCAACTACTGAGATGGCTGAGAGGATAAGAGCGGGAGTCAGCAAATAGCGGCACTGCCATAGGCGCATACATGATGTTTACGACATGCCGCAGCGCCACAGACGTGAGAGGCAAGCTGAAGAGGGGACTCGACCGCAAATGTGATGAAACCAAAGTCGCACGACACCCTCTGCAAGCGGTGCAAGAGAGTCTGGTTCTTCAGGCTGAGATGGTTGAGCCGAACCCCAAGCCGTGTGTAGTGCCTGATGGCCGAGGTTGGTAGCATTAGCCAATGCCTGCCTGCGATGCTTCTAGTGTCTCGGCTTGACTTGATAAGCGTAAATGTCCGGTCTTGCCGCGACGTGGCAGATGTTGACAGCTCAACATACAGTAAACCTCCGTTATAACGTTCACCATCTTAGCGATAATCGCGCTATTACGATGGTTCACGGTCATCTAAGGGTTTTTCCCTAGTAAATCGTTAAAAGTCGCGAGTCGCACGATATCGTAGGTATTAGGCTTAGTCACCATACAAATTCAGGGCTTTTATCGTTATTTGGGCGGTTTTGGGCGGCTTTGGCCCCACTATTAGGGGGTCCTCCAGCGTGTGAGTCAGCATAACAGGGTTGCTAATCCTTGTATATGTACCTTTATTATAGTAAATGTAAGTAAAAATACAAGCCCCATAATAGTCGTACCTTTGCGATAGTCACCAAATATCGCTAATTTTGGCCTCACGAAGGTTATCGTTACAACGGTGGTTTACTGTATATCGGCGATCCCCCGCCCATACCATCCGGCCGATATGCAACCCACCGTCGTATTTGTTTCTCCGCGATTACCAGATCCAGGCTCTTGCAGCTGTCTTTGCCAGCGGGAATTCCGCACAGATGTTGTCACATGCGGGGTTGCGTTGGGGCAAGTTGGCAAGAGATACGGAGTAGATGGCCAAAACCTCCAGGAAAATGATCGTCACAAACTTGAGGTTTGTGATGGGTCATTTATCGCGTGACCGTCACACTTTGCAAACCGAATAAATGGCAATTGGGAAAGTTTTCATATAGTTTAGCTATTGCAATATTTAGATATTACACAAATTTCCAAGGTTTTAATAGATACTATAGTTCGTTTTTATTAACTTACTTATGGCGTGGAGTAATCCTTTGCTTTGCAATATTGTTGTTTGCATCTGTTGGACCGGCCCGTTGCCCTGTCACAGATTATAGCCCCTGCAACCGTTCATGCGTTTGAAATCTGCACTACTCTCATGGTCCATATATTCAAGGCTGACGTGAATCTTGCCCATGCCATCTTGCCCTTGTACTACCAATCGTGCGTCAGGCTTTCCCACCGCATCAATGGGATCGACTCGTGCTACGCCTATGGGTGTGTCCAGGCTCCTCCCATGTCAGTCGGGTTGCTGAGCACAAGGTATATAATATACCAAGTCAACTCAACAGGGCGGAAAGTATCAATATCAAATACACGATTGAAACAATCGTCTGATTCCCACGCGGGCTTATCCGTGGTCCCTGCATAGCAATCGACAGAGACTTGCCCCTTTCATACTCTAGCAAGCGAAACAGCCGCTTGAGGCGTTGCGTGTGTTCACGGTACTTGTGGAGCTCTTTGCGATGGTCCGGTGCGGACAGGCTTACGGCCTCATGAATAATCTCGGTCAAGCTAGGAGGCGAATTGAGAGTCGATGTTGACGAGGTATTCACAGCTGGATTGATGTGGGCAGTGCGCACCCGCGGGACCTGCTGACAGGTATCGTCGCAGACAAAGCAAGGCAGTAATTGTACTCGTGCACTCTAATATCCGCTCCCGGGATATCGTGAAGTCACTGATGGTGTTGGTTGCAATAGAGTCAATATGTACTATGGGATTGGACTGTCTGCCTCGAGAGCCATGCAGGGGGTTTGGCACGCCGTTGCCTCGTCGTCTGGAGGAAGATTTGACGGAAAGACCAATTGATGCCCCGCACCCAGTTTCTCGTTTACCATTCCCTCAAGGCAACTACCTGCTGCTCCATTGGACCAACTCTTTCTTCTAATCATACGCGCAAGTCTGGGAAGGCGCGCATATAAACTGCCAATCGCTAATATCGTCATTTCCGTCTCGCTCGAGCTTAAAGAGGAAGGTGCAGCCCTTCTGTGGACCGCGTGCCTACCGACCTATATGAGCATGTCAAAGTCCTCCCCTCCCGATAATCAAGACAAGTATTGCAATTTAACTCATCGGCATCACAGCTCATCCTAGCAGAAGCAGCCCCAAGCAAGCTGCCTTGGCCAACTATGAACGAATCAAATTTTAATAACGCAACGGGTGGGCCTGGCCATCACTGCCGCATTTCCGCAAGTTCAAACGGGACTTCTACATAAGAATGTAGCTGCACCGCCCGGTTATCAATCAGCAGAGGCACCGGACGCCTACCTCTCTTCTCAGTTCACAAAAGTCTATCCACTCGACAGTACAGCACTCTTCGTAATGCAAGGGAAACACATATCATTCAAACCCTTACTGTGCTTGAGACTGTAATGCTCACCAACACGGTCGCCAACTACCCAGTTATGGAGCCTGCTTCCCAACATACCTACACAATCCCAAATTCGCGTCGTCTGGACCATCGGAAAAGCACAATTTCATGCCGCGAGCCTCTGGGGTGTAATGCTGAGGGATGGAGCTTCCTAAGTCCTGTCAGACTCGGCCTTGCACCGCGTTTCATTGACATGCTTGCACTGCTAGTAGCAATATTCGGGATGTTCATTGGCATCCTGTCAATATGGGTTTTTGTTCGCCGAAGAGCTAATGGGGAGGTAGAGGCAAGGGGCTGGAAATACTGGACAAGTTTGGTAGGTGCGTGTCTTTGCGTTCAACGGCATCCGTCTCGGCCTCAATCCAGTCAATCGCCCCTGACACCTTTATTACATGTATAGGCTTGCGTCGCTTTCGTCGTCACTGGCACTATTGTACAAATTGCTGGTCTGATCACCGGCAATCCACATGCTTGGCTCAGCGACCTCTGGGTATGGGCTTATACCCTTCTTGTCATGTCTCTTTTGGCAATGTTCGTCGTCCAGTATCTGGGGCCAAGTGGCCGGCAACGCAGAGCCGCCAAAGGAGCAGCCTTCTACTGGCTTATTCTCACTTTTCTTCTGGGGGCAAAATTGCAATCAACTATTTCACATCATATGAACAAGCGTCATATGTATTCCATTGCCGCTTTGTGTATAAGTTTTGTCTTCTCGTGCGTCGAATGTGTCCTTGTCTGGTTTGTGCCAGATGGATACGCCGGCATGGGCCAAATAAACAACGTTGACGTCCGCCCACGTGTGACATTGTGGTCCACTCTGACTTTTGCGTGGATGACGCCCATGATGACCTTTGGCTATAGGAATCGTCTCACTGAGAACGACCTCTGGGAGCTACCCGAGAGTGAGAATACAAGGGCTGCAGCCAAAACATTCCAAGACTCATGGAGTGTCGAGCTGGTCGGCAAAAAAGCCCCGTCGATATGGCAGGCTCTCTTCCGCGGTTTCGGACGAGCCTATGTGCAGGCAATACTCTTCAAGGTGGGGGCTGACATATTTTCACTCATGCAGCCACAGTTATTGCGCTTCTTGATATCATTTGTCCAGTCTCGAGGCAATCTGACGAATGGAGCGGCCCTTGCGCTGGCCATGTTTCTGGTCTCTGTCGTCCAGAGCCTCTGTCTCCATCAGTGCTTCCAGCGACTTTCTTACACCGGGGTCAAAGTGAAAGCGGCGCTTATTTCCACAATCTATGTGAAATCGCTTAGGTTGTCAAATAGTGCGCGTGCTTCCAAGTCCACAGGTGGCATTGTCAATCTGATGGCTGTAGATTCGCAGCGCCTTCAGGACTGTATTCAGTTTAGTCAGCATATTTGGTCCGCTCCGTTGCAAATAGTTCTCTCTGCGGCATCTCTATATCAACTGATGGGGCCTAGCATGCTGGCCGGTCTTGCCTTGATACTCGTCATGATTCCTATTAACAAGACCATCACCGTGGCCATCAAGGCTCTTCAGAAGCAGCAGATGAAAAACAAGGACGCGAGATCCAAGATTATCACAGAAGTAGTCCAGATGATGAAGAGCATCAAGCTTCTTGCGTGGGGTCCAGCATTTATGGACAAGATCAGTCACATTCGTAATGACATGGAGCTCGCAACTCTTTGCAGGGTGGGCAACCTTCAAGCACTATCTGGCTTCATCGGTGCGGCAGCCCCATTCATCGTTGCCTGTGCAGCGTTCTCAGCATACGTCTTAGTCCAGGCCAGCCCGCTGACAACGGATGTTGTGTTCCCTGCCTTTGCATTATTCCATTTGTTGACGGCCCCCCTGACTATCCTTCCCGCGGCTATTTCTTCCGTTACGGAGGCAAGTGTTGCAGTAACTCGGCTAAGCGCCTTTATTACCGCTGATGAGGTCCAAGAGAACGCTGTTGTTCACAACGACACGGTTACGCAAACCGGTGCAGAATCGGTTGCTATACGCGAAGCAACCTTCACATGGGACAGACAACAGACCAACCCGGCTATTGAAGAAGTCAACTTCACGGCTCGTGCGGGTGAGCTCTGCTGCGTTGTTGGCCGCATTGGGAGTGGCAAGTCTGCGTTGATCCACGCCATTCTCGGCAGCCTTCACAAAGTAAAAGGTACAGTGGCGGTTCATGGTTCGGTCGCATATATGGCACAAGACACATGGCTACTGAATGCCACGATACGAGACAACATAACGTTTGGCCATGAATGGGACGCTGGGTTCTACGAGAACACTATGAAGGCGTGTGAATTAGTCAGCGACTTTGTCCAATTCCCAAACGGGGACCTGACTGAGGTTGGAGATCGAGGTATTATGTTGAGTGGCGGGCAGAAAGCGCGTCTATCCCTGGCCAGGGCAATATACTCTAGAGCAGATATATACTTGCTGGATGATCCTTTAGCGGCAGTGGACCAGCACGTTGCCAGACATCTGGTCGACAATGTACTTGGACGCCATGGCCTCCTTCAAGGAAGAACAAGAATTGTCGTCACAAACTCCGAGGCTGCCCTGGCCGAGTCAGACGCAGTTGTCTTGCTTCAGTCTGGCAGAATCGCGGAAAGGGGTACTGGCACACAAACCATGGAGGCGATGAGAGATTTCAACGATGTTGAAGGAAACTTGGGTACTCTAAATGATGAAGATAAAGTCAATATGTCTGCCGATATGTCAAGCGCCGGAAAACTACAGGTTATAAGCAATATTCAGGGATTGACAACAATGCGCCAAGTGGCTTCCCAAGAGGCAGATCCGAGTGCAGCTCACCGCGCAGACGATGAACGTCGCCGAAGTCTTCCAAGGAGACGCATTGACGTGGAATCTGAGCCAATCATACGTACAGAACGCTCAAAACAAGGCCGTGTGGGATGGAAGGTGTATGGTGATTACGCAAAGTCGAATGGTCTTGTCTTTGTCTGTCTATATGTTGTTGCTCTCATCGGCTCCCAAGCAGCTGAAATAGGTATGTGCATTTTTGCATATGTTGTGTTGTTTCACTCTATAGGGAAAGAGCAAGTACAGTCGCTGTGTCAGGGCCATGGAGAGAGGAGAGAACCAAAAAGGCGCACTTATAAGCTGAGTATCGAGGATATTCGGTCAAGGGCCGCTATTGCTGGATCTTTTTGCTCCATAAACCTGATATTCGCTGTGACGCGCTGAGTTCTGTTGCTAATAAGCAAACAGGGAGTAATATCTGGCTCAAACACTGGAGCGAGACGAACAACTATGTCGGGGAGAATCCGCAAGTCTCAAAGTTCATTGGTGTATATGTTGCATTTGGGCTTGGTTCAGCTGTCCTTGTTTTTGTACAGAGTATGGTACTTTGGCTGGCCTGCTCCATCAAGGTACGACGCGCACCAATGGTGTTTGAAACGCTGACGTAGGAACTGCCCAGGCTAACAAACCGACAGGCCTCACGCACCCTCCATGAGCGGATGGTGTTTGCAGTTTTTAAATCTCCCATGAGCTTTTTTGAGCAGACCCCAGCCGGTCAAATCCTGAATCGATTCACTAGGTACGTGGAAACCAAGACCGTGGCCACATCATACTAGACACAGTAGACCTGTGTACCTGTGTATCCATTTTCTTGCGTCATTTACAGCTGACGGGATGTCTTGTAGTGACATATATCGTATCGACGAGTCCCTCGCCAGACAGTTCAACGCGCTGTTTGTTAGTGCTGCGAGAGGTTTCTTTATTCTTGGCGTAATTGCCTTGGGAAGTCCACTCTTTGTGGTGTTCATCATCCCACTCGTGCTTCTATATACATACATGCAGCGATATTACTTGGGAGCCAAGCGAGAACTCAAGCGCTTAGATAGCACGAGCCGCAGTCCTGTTTTTGCCCACTTTCAAGAGACCCTTGGGGGTGTTGCAACTATTTGTGCCTACGGAGCTCAGGAACGATTTATCCGAGAAAATGAACGTCGAGTCGACGCAAACATGAAGGCCTATATTCCGTCGATAACAGCAAACCGGTGGCTAGGGGTTCGACTAGAATTTGTTGGGTCTGTCGTAATTCTACTAGCAGCCGGATTTGCCGTTGCAGGTGTTGCCTTCAGATCTGGTCAGTCAGATGGCATGGCCGGCTTGACAATATCATACGCTCTGTCAGTGCAGCTCCCCACCGGGTCCATTCGGAGATGCTCTGGAGTATACTGACAGTCAGCAGACAAATCACGCAGTGCCTCGGCTCGCTAGTCCGAGCCACCGGGGAGGTTGAGACGAACATAGTGTCTGTAGAGCGTGTCCTCGAATTCACTGGCTTACCCAGCGAGGCTCCGGATGTTCTTGAGAGCCACCGGCCGCCAGGTAGCTGGCCAGCCCAGGGGGCCGTGAAATTTGTCAATTATAGCACTCGCTATAGACCAGAATTGGACCCAGTCCTCCGAAACATCAACCTTGACATAAGAGCCAAGGAAAAGATTGGCATTGTCGGCCGCACTGGGGCTGGCAAAAGCTCGCTAGTACTGTCGCTCTTTCGAATCATCGAACCAGCCTTGGGGAGCATCCACATTGATGACCTCAATGCATCGAGTGTAGGACTCTTGGACCTTCGGCGCCGAGTGTCGATCATTCCTCAGGACTCTGCTCTGTTTGAAGGAACAATTCGGGACAACCTGGACCCAGACAAGGCCCATGACGATACTGAGCTTTGGGTCGCTCTTGGTACGTGCGAAACCAGTCATTGAGTCGTTTGGCGACCTGGGCTAATATACCAAATTTACAGAACTTGCTCAACTGAAGGAGCACGTTGCCGGCATGTGTGGTGGACTAGACGCGAAAGTATACGAAGGGGGTAAGATGGCAGGAACGCTGTGTCACCTCTTTCGCTTAATACTCACCGTTGACTCTACAGGTTCAAATCTTAGCCAAGGCCAGAAGCAGCTGATATCATTAGCCCGCGCACTGCTGAAGCCCTCGACTATCCTAGTGCTAGACGAAGCAACCGTGAGTATCAGTCTTGGCCGCTGTCGAAACTTCTTTTTATGCAGAAATCATGCTGTAAACTCCAAAGCTAATTGAATGTAGGCCGCGGTGGACGCTGGAACGGATATGATTATCCAGAAGACTCTGCGGGACAATATATCCGGTCATCGCACCATCATTACAGTTGCGCACCGCATTCATACTGTCATCGACTCTGACCGCATAGTGGTGCTTGATGACGGAGAGATTATTGAGGCTGATACGCCAGCTGCTTTGATAGAGCAAAAGGGAGCATTTTACCAGCTTGCTAGAGAGGCAGGCCTAGCAGAGTAGTAAGCAACATTTAAGACGTCGGGCTTGAGTGCACAAATCATGTGGCGGGCTGTTTCTGCCGTGTCGAGCAAAACCATGGATTAAACCGCCAGCATCGCGCATTTGGCAACGTCATTTGCGACTTTGTCCATCGTGGCGGAGTAAGGGTTCCGAGTTGCTCGGGTGAGTCATTGAGTCATCTGTCGGGCCTTCTAGAAGGTCTGCAGTAGCTTAAACCCTAATTATATTGACAAGCTGCCAAAGGTTTCAAGAGTGACTGCCTAGTAACTAGAGGCTTAGTGACGGCCGTGTCTAAATTTTAGAAAAGGAAGGCTTCTAGAAGCTGTAGCGCAACGCTGCTTGATGACAACGCAGGCAAATCCCGCCTTCTCTGATTGAGAGCTTAGGAAGTAGTTAATAAATGGGGCGGAAACCGCTAAAAGCCACTTTAGCGATGCGGAATACCTCGGGGATGATGAATAAACACACGCGACATCAAGGCAGCCCCGAGAAAAGTGTCGGTGGTATGAACCGGCAGTGGCTGTGCTGTTGAGATTTGTGTCACTTGACGAGGTTAGGTAGTCGGTGGAAGGTACACCGGAGCACCGGGAATAAATAAGTGAATGAACATGGAAACAAAGCCACTTTATGGAGAAGTATGAAACTAAGTTCACCCGTAATCAGCATGGTCAATGTAATGGCGCGTCGGCCATCTACAAGCGCGATCCACGGGGGTCAAGACTTGACAGGTGAGAATGTGGGGTAACCAAAGACAGAATAAGACAGAAAAATACGTCCAGTGCATGACAAGATGGTTATGTTTTTCGCGGGATTTGCTAGAGGAGGAGTATACGCACAAGCAACAAAGGTCCTTGGACGGGTTTCTGGGATTGTTCGTCGTCAAAGGTGCTCCCAGCTTCCAAATGACGTAGCTTTCTTCTTGGCTTTTTGAACAGCCAGAGAGACGTCGACGGTGTGTTGCAAACATGTGCCCCTGCCGCCCCCCTGAAAGGCGGTTGTGCAACACTGGTAGCAAACATGCAGTTTGGGCGCAAGTATGGTTTGCCATGCGATGAACAGGCCTTGGTTGTCTGAAGTGTATCAAGCCATTCTCCAAGGCTCACTCGGTATCGGGGATCCCAGACACTGCATGTGCTATCGAATGCATGCCAAGCTGTGAAAGTTTTGCCCCTGGTCTGTCGCGAGGGCCCCGCGGAGCTAATCAGGGCTGTCTGCGGCACCCAGACGGCATGTTCGCAGAGGGAAGCAGCCCTGTTGCAAGGCAAAGCAGGGTGCTTCCATGTCACATGGCGCCGAAACCAACTTGACATGACATTCTGGCATCAATGATGCAGCCTCTAGCGTCTTGGCAGGCCCCAGCTTCGCGTGTTGGCGTGGTATCCAGATCGAGTCCATTTGCAGTTTCCAGAATTCGCCATGGCCAGTGCAGGGCTGTGCATGGCGGGGGAAACAAGGGGGCAATGCATGAGTGTACCAAAGACCAGACACAGCCGACGGCAAAGGCGCAGGTACCGCTGCGCCAGTGAAGCCGTGGAAGTGGCCTCGCGCACGCCACACACTCTGTGAAGACCAGACCAGCCTCTTTGTTCTGCGGGCTGACCACGGTGGCTCAGAGGTGCCAGGCTGAATCCGGCTCCGCGCCTGGTGGACCTGGCCCGGGCGCCAACCCAAGCCAAAGCGTGCAACTCCGGTCTGGTCAATGTTTGTGTGCCGAGTGTTCAAACTGCCAGGATGGATATATAAGATTGAGACGCAGCCAGCCAAGGAGGAAAAAAGGTCAACAGGTAGGCAGCGACAAAAAAACACCGTCAAGCACTTTTGGCCCTGATCCTCTCACTCACCATCGCACCTGCCTTTGCCACTGCGCCAAGCCCAACCGACATATACGAGGAAAGAGCCATCAACATGCGTCGCCTTTCGAGCGCCAGGGACAAGCTGTTCCGGTCTTCATCCCGGTCTTCATCGCAGTCCAAGAAATCCGAGAGCTCTCGTGGACTGTCATCGAGCACCTCTGGTCCCTCATCGTACCGTAAGACAAGTCCTCAGATGGTGAAGCAAAGCACACGCCTACTAACAACAAGCAGCCGGGCCAAACAACTTCAGCGACGCCCCCCCGCCCGCCTACACACCTGCGTATCAACCCGCACCCGCGCCCGTATTTCTATCGCCGCCCTCGCATGCACCCGTGCCCGTACCTGCACCTGCACCTGCACCTGCACCCGCGCCCGCGCCTGCCGGTGTCTACGGAGGCGTCTCCGATGGCGACCGCTACGCCAACTTGGCCAATTTCGACACCATCTTGCTCATCGACGATTCTGGATCCATGGCCGGCAGCCTCTGGAGAGAGGCGCAAGATGCCCTGAAATCCATCGCCGAGATTGTCACATTGTACGACGAGGACGGCATCGACATGTACTTTTTGAACCACAAGTCTAGCCAGACACCCAGCGACGGGTACAAGGCCAAGGGCGGTTACTATAACGTGGCCCGAAAAGACGTGATCGAGACGATTTTTAGCAATGTCAACCCTTACGGTGCCACCTACACGGGCAGAAGATTGGAACAAATCCTCCTCCCTTACATGAGAAAGTTTGCATCAGCCAACGACGTTGATGACGTCAAGCCCATCAACCTGATCGTCATCACCGACGGTGCACCCTCCGACAACCCTGAGCAGGCCATTCTGCAGGTTGCCAAAGCCCTCGATCAGCAGGCCGCGCCATCCTACCAAGTCGGCATTCAGTTTTTCCAGATTGGCTCAGACAGCTCCGCCACCAGTGCGCTACAACAACTAGACGATGGCTTGAGTCGTCACGGCGTTCGGGATATAGTCGACACGGTGTCGTGTCAGTGGGAGGATGCAGGAAGACACCGTGCCAAGAGGCTCACGGGTGACGCCATCCTGAAGGTTGTCTTGGGCGCCGTGGACAAGCGACTCGACGAGCATCGACTCACCAACAAGAAGTAGGCGGCCATAGCTGTCGCTACCGGACGGGCCAGTTTGATATGCAAGTGTGGCCAAGGATGGATCTGTCGTTGATGGAGAGAGAGACACTAAGCGTTACAAAAAGAAGACGCTCCAAGAAGGCCTCGTAGTCTGATGACACGGAATCAAGCTGAGCAATGGGCGGCGGAGAAGATTGATATTGTTTAAACTAAACAATCTGCCGATTTCATAACCTAATTCTATGTACTTTTTTTAAAAAACCATTTGTAACTCTATGTCTGGTCCGTGGAAGCCGGCTTATGGCATCATGTCATGTTGACGTGCATTTGTGTATTAATATTACCCCTAAGAAAATGCAATCGAGAAACATGAGTAGGTCCATGATCATATATCCGAGAGCCGACGTGACTTGCTCGGCGCATTCATGGCGATTGAGATTCTCTTGCAGCCGTGAACATCGCAGTGTCAGCAGTCAAGAAATTGCCAAAATCGCAACCCTTATTAACAACATGAAACAACTCTAGACTCTGGCACAGCCCTCACCCGCCAGCACGATACTCACCGGCCTGACATTTGCCAAAAGGGATAGATACTTCGAAGCTCGCGCCGGGTTGTGGGGGTGAGACTGGGAATCTTTATTCCACGGTACAGACAGTGATTGGGCTGACAGGAGATTCTGGTGTAGGTTTCGATACGTCGTGAACCCCGACCGGCACCATGTCAGCCCTGACAACTGCATCCCGGCAGATGACAAGTACCAGACTGTTGATAACGACCAAGTCTATTATTAGACTGCGGAACAGTGGCCGCAATGTCGCCTTGTTGGGGTGAGATGCCGCCGCGGATGAAATGTGGGTTTTCCGACGGCGGGCTGAACATCCAATTGTACATTGGGCAGGCCTCTTGCGTGCGCAACTTAGGACAGTTCTCGGTATTTCTCCCCATCCTCGCTCGTTTCTTGAATAGTGTAACAAGGGTTCAGTGTATGAGGACTTGAATTCGTCGAATAAAAGTCTTTGGCATTAAATGTCCTCGGTTTACTCGAGGCCCAGATGGCCAGACAGCTTCCATCTACACAAGAAGTCGGTGGCATCTCTATCTACGTCTCGTGGTGGCCCTCGTGTAACCTCTGACCAATAAAGAGAGTCAATTGTTGCGTTTACAAAAGCCACCGTCACCTAAACGCCCTCGCTTTAGCTGCGCAACATCTGCTCGAGCCTGCGCGTACGTGCTGAATTTTCATGACTCGGTTGTCGGGTTGATGGTTGGTTGAGTCATGGAGCCAAAAGATGGAGCAATAGCGACCCCGTGAGCCAATCTCCAGCTTACAAGTGTGCCCTTTTGGTCCCGGCACTCCTACTCGCAACAGGTCGGAAATAACTTCCAAAGCCGAGGCTTCGCTTACGTTTGAATTGATATCGATAGTACCGAGCACTGGGCTCGTTTAAAGTTGATCGATAAAGGTGTGATGCGGACCCTCGTGGCTGCAATAAGCCCCAGGTGCCGTCACTTGAACGGGCCCATGGAGCCAAGGCGGCCCCAGCCGGGTCCGGCCCAAGGTGGGTCCGGGGTATTCTCATGCCGGCACTGCGCCTGGCGGCTATCCACATCGGTGGGCAGCTCCGGCGCAAAAGTATGCAGACACGGCATTCGTATAGCCCAGGGACGGTTCAACCAACATTTGCCATTCCATGCAGCCCGCACATCGAATTGCTTCCTGGGAAACCATTATGCGTCGCAGTGGCGCGTAAGTTGCCCGTCGCCGGGTTTGTTGGTGGTCATCAAGCTTCGGGCGACTCAGCCCTCCCCCACCTTGCGTACCTATTGTCCTGGGCTTTGATTTGCTGTGTAAAAAGGGGTGTGTGGTTGGGAACGGCCTCGGCCACAGTCACCACACAAGTAGGGGGCTTTCCAGAATCCTTCTTCTTTCTTCTTATAGGCCCGGAGCTCCGATTGGGCTGTGGAAAGGCATCCCGGGACTGTAATTTGCTTCCTCTTGCAACGTGTCCATTCTCATGTGATTACTATTCGACCCCAGTTGGGTAATGCAAGACTTAAAGAGAGCGGAGAGACATGTCGAAATCCCTTTACACTCGGTAGGGATGTAGGACAATGGCAGGATTACTAGATCCCCTGTGTGCCGACCGAGGACGTCCCTCGTCCGCGGCACCTACCCACGCGTCTCGCATCACTTCGCCAACGCAGCACAAGCGCCGGCGACGGGTTCACTGCAAGTCCCGTCTCGGCTGTCTCAGCTGCAAGCAGAGAAAGATCAAGTGCAACGAGCTGCGCCCGAGCTGTTCGCATTGTCACCGCTCGGGGCTGCAGTGCATCTACGTCCACTCACCAGACCTGTCGCAGCCCTTCAAGGCGCTCCTGACCGGCTTCACAATGGAGGACTTTAGGTTCTACCACCACGTCCTCACCACAGCACTCCCGAGTCTTCCATTCGGAGGGCATCGTGTCTGGTGGCAAGTCGCCGCCACGGCGCACCATGTACGTTCTGCGTAAAAGCCCCTTATCCCATCCCCCCAAGTTAGCAATGCCTTGGTGCTGATCCTGCGCGTTGGGATTTCCCCAGCACGCGCATCTAGGACACGCTCTGCTGGCTCTCGGTGCGTCGCACCTCTCGCAGCACGGCGCGGGCGACTACACGGTTCAGGCTCTCGGCCACAGGCTCGACGCTATAAGACTGCTGGCGGGCGCGCTGGACGCGGAGCCAAAGACGGCAGTCGACGCGGACGCCTTGTTCGCCGCAACGTACTGCCTCATGTCGCAGTCGTGTCTGATGCCCAGGGACGGCATGGCCGAGTACATGACCTTTATGAGGGGGGCCAGCCTCGTCATGACGACTATACTGCCCGAATTCCCGGATTCCATCTTTGCCGAGTTTGCAAGACACGCCATTGTCGCCTCGCTGGCTTTGGCGGCTCCGGAAGAGCCTGAAGATGATGAGACTGCAAGGAGCCGCGAGGAATCTATGAAAAGGTTGAAACGTTTTTGGCAGAACAGCGCAGAATGGGAGCACTAGTCGTGGCTGGTAAGTCGCCTTGCTAGAGCGGCCGGCTGTTCTGTTGGTGGTGAGTTGGTATTCGTAAACGTGTAGGCCGAGACAACGGCCTTTTGTTTTTGAATATGTTGAGCCTGTGGGGGTTTTCACAACCTGCTCCTCCTACTGCTGCCCTTATTCACAACTGGCGAAAGCACTGCCTGTGGATTATCAGCCGTTCATCATGGGGACATTGAAGTATTGTGAAAACCTAGTCTATGAATCTCGTGCTAGTTGGTTGATTTATGGGGATTCGTGGCCAACGAAACTGGTTAAATTGTATTGATAATATTAAGCGTATAGAAACACAGTTATTTGTAATACTCTACATGCTTGTTCATTATATAGAATAATAGACGATACTTGTATCATGCTTGTAATCTCATTCAACTTAAGAGGAAAACAGTCAGCAATTCAATATAGAATAATAGAATAGATATCTCATGGGTTAGGCCAAGTTCAGATAAAGAGTCGGCGTCAATATTCGAATCATGTCGCAGTACGAGAGAAGGCCTCTCTGCCCCGAGATGGCTACTCTGGGGTTGACCGGGTAGACCAAGATTGAGGGTATGCGACCCCCTGGCAAGGTGAAGGCGCCAAAGTGTTGTCGGCCCAGATTTCTATAAAGCTTCAAAGTTCATGGGTCCGTGCCATTTCAAGCTTTTGAAAACAGCATACGGTGTACAAAACGAGGATGGGCGGAATTAATGCGCGATTGGAGCGTTTCTCTGCAGCTGCAAGGGGCGGGAACCCACGTACATTTCTCGAGGGTTTCATTCATCACGGAGCGTTAAAAAGCAGAGGTGGTGGACTTGAAGTCAAATGCGGGGGTGGAGCCAGGTCATCAAGGTCGCAATTTAAACGCACAGGCATGGACCCAACAACTCGGTAACTTCAGCCATGGGAACTGATTGGGCTTGCTGCTTACCTGCCCACCTCCAGCGGCGCCTTCACGGGCTCGCCGATGCCAATCGCAGTTTACTACCCCGGGGAACCGAGTCAAATGTCATGAAGAGGGCGGTGACGAGCAACTGGAATGCTGGTAAATATATGCCGTGTTGCTGCCGGGAAGTATGAACATCGAACAGCCGGCCGAACCGGCATATCTAGACTGGTTGCCAGTGGCCCCACCCAAGGAACCATTATCACCCCGTAATTGGCTAGCGTCCCCCGGTAAAGGAAGGTTCCGTAGACGTCAACTGGTGTTCTAGAATGCGACTGGAGGAGCAATTCACACTGGAGGCATTGGCGCTCGAAACATTTGATCAATCCCCGTCTGGGCAGCGAATGCTCCAGCGAGGTCACTCGGTCTGTAGCCGACTAGAAGCTTGTCTTTTCGGGGCAAGTGTCAAGTCTGTGCATAAATTTCGTACAGCTTCTTACCAATTCACATTGGGAGAGCGGGCGATCCCGTGGCTAGACACGCCTTTCCTCCGCCGGCTGGCAGGCAGCCACGGTGGATAAATCGAAACAGAGCAAGCCAAACTCGGTTCCCACATGCCCAACTGTGAATACTATCAGACTTAATTCAAGCGGGTTGATTAAATCAAAAAACTATTTGCAGCACACACACGTATACTAAACAATTAAGTAGTAGTTTGCTTTAAAAAAAAATGCCATTATTAGTGCATATGTACTTTGCCATACTCTGTAATCACCGACAAGTTCTCCAAGTGTCTAAGAGCGCCAAATGATTGGTTCGCTACATGTGTAAAAGCGGGACTCATCTACCACCCCTTAAACACCAACCTCGCGATACTTCATCGCACATCTTGACACGACTGATGATCGATTCCTCAGCCATGTCAAGCGCTACAGAATCTCCACACCACAAAGAATACAATATTCACAATGCGTTGAATACGGCCCACACAGCCATCAGCATTCGTCGTGCTCAGATCCACCACCAGAGACTGGCGCGTCTTCGCCCTCCAAGAAACATGGGCTCAGCCATCCAGACTTGCCGCCAACGACATGCTAGGAGAACTCATCCAAGCATCGCCGCCCCAACGCTCCAAAGAGAAACCCAAGTGTTTTGGGCCCCACGGTGACCCGGATATTACTTGAGACGCGTAGCCATGCCCAACGCAGCACCGCAACACCACGACACTCTGCGCAACTAAAAACCGGCTTCAACCGAAACCCAAGCCGTAAACAACGCGTATCTCAATTGCCAAGTCTAATCAAGCGTCGAATCCCTAAAACAAAATAAACCTAAATCCACGGATGCAATCGCAATTCCGCAAACAAAATAAACCCCCCCCCGAATGGCCCATTGCAAATCCATACCCTGGATCAAAAAGTCTTGGTGGGAAACCAAAGCAAAAATGTGCTACCAAGAGCCATATATAAACCCAAAAGCTCAGCCGAGTTACAAAATGTAAAACCTTGTCGCCATCTGCCCAATACAACCCGAATAACAGCCAACCCCCCTCCTTTCTCACTGCATACAATACACATCCGCCAGGGCAACCGAGTGCGCCGAGATATTGCTCCCCGTGTCGTTGCGACAGGTAATGACGGGCGTCGTCACCAGCGCCACCCGCCAGTGCTTGGCCTGCAGCTCGGTCGGCTCGAGCGCCGGCCAGATAGGCAGCATGCTCTGGCTAGAGAAGCGCGCGCCCACCTCGGGGAAGCGAAAGTCAAACGTGAGCCGCGACGTGAGGATCTTGGACGACAGGTCCCACGCCAGGTCGGCGACGTGCTCGAGGTCGCGGTACGCGTCGGCCGGGTTGGCCAGGCGGTTGAGCAGCGGCTGGATGGTGGCCATGAGGGCGGCCGTGATGTCGCCCACCTTTTCCCTGTGGAACGCCAGCGGCTCCGACTTGATGATTGCCTCGAGGATGTGGGCTTGCCGGTCGAGCAGGGGCTGCCGCTGCGCCGAGGGCTGGCCTGTCGCGACAAGACAAGTTGTTTGGGTCAGGCGCGAGTTTTCTAATACAACACAGGGGGGCGGGAGCTTCTTACCTTGGGTCTTTTCGAGATCCTTTTCCAGCTCGAGCAGCGCGTAGGTGCAGTCATCGTCGAAGCCGATCCATGCGTTGGGCACCCAGACTCGGTTGACGATGTAGTCGATGATGACGCGCGTGACGAGGCAGCACTTGGGGTTGTCGGCGCGAAGGTGAATGTCGAGATAGGAGGCGGCCTCCTTGGCCGAGAGCGGGTGGTAGGTGGCCAGGAGGACGGGCCACAGGGGCAGGGTGCTCATCTTCATGGCCATGGCCGGGTCGGGCACGTTGGCGTGGCGCTCGACAAACGCGCGGATCATGGCGTAAAGTTCCATGATGGACTCGTTCCACGCCGCCACCGCCTGCTCGTTCATGTGGACCAGCGGCCCGGAGAGGATGCCTCGCGCGGCGGCCGCGTTGCCCGCCGACGAGGGAGCGCTCCCGTACTCCGACATGCTGGGTTCGGCAGGTCGTCCGTACCGGGGCCGAGACGTCGTCGGGGTCTGGGGGTAATACTCGCGCGGAGGCTGGTGGTGGCCGAATGCTGTGCCAGGACGGGCCGGAGCATGTTCGGGGGCGTAGCCCGGCTGGAACTCTGCTGCAGCAGTAGGTCTGTACCGAGTAGGTGCCTGGTATGGTCTTCGCGTCGGCGGACGAGTAAACGACGACGTAGCGTTGCTGAAGAAGGGGTTCCCGGCCTGCGCAAGCCGGCCTTGGGCAGAGCTCCACGACGACGCGGATCCCTGGTATCGTCGTTCGTGGGAGAATGCAGACGGGGCCCGAGGCGGCCCAGCTTGAAGGGGGCCGAACTTGGGGGGATCAACCGCACAGGATCTGCTCGAGGCCTGGAAGACCGAAGGCGGACGAGGCGGAGGCGCCATCTCACCGTACGGGCGAGCGTCTGCGCTCCCCTGATGTCTGGTGTCCTGGTAGTTGTTAGCACCGCGTGCGGCTCTGGTCTTCATGGACAAGATGGATTGGTGAGCGGCCTGGTTGTCCTGCACCGAATCAGCCAGTGTCTCGATAGCACGGGCGACAGACTGCGGATCCGAATGCTTCATGAGCCACAGCGAGCGCCGATTATTGACTTGATCCTCCAGATAGCGTATCGAATCCTCGAGGCTCTGTCATTCAGTACAAACATTAGCGTGCTTTCATCTCAACCGCCAGCCGCTTCACAGCCTTGGCAAACGCACCTTGACAATGTCATCACGAACGTCAGCGTCCGCGCCCTCATCTTTCCTTGTTGCCTTCTCCTGAAGCTTTTTGAAATCCTCCCTCAATCGCTGCAGATCGGCCATCACCTTCTTAACATCCAGCTCCGCCTGCTCGCGCTTCTTCCTCTCCGCGTCAAGCTCAGCGCGGAGGTCCCTAATAGTCTGCGCCTTGTCGTCCATCTCGGCGTTGAGAATGGTGGCATCCAGGCTCAAGCGCGAAACGGCCTTGTCGGTATCCTCCTGGTCGAGGGTGACGTTCATCAGGGCGTCCACGAGCTGGCTGGTCTCTTGGCTGATGACCTGTCCGACTTCTTGGAGCTGGCCGACGATTTCGCCAGATTCGCTCGACGACACGCCGGGCATTCGACGGAGAGAATGTTGGATCTTGACGAGTATTTCCTGCGCAAATCGGGACTTTTCAAAGGCAGGCTGTTGCGAGACATGAGCTGCCGTCTCGTGCGAGAGGTTAGGGGCAAACCTTACATGATTATGCGACATTTGGCGAATTCGCTCGGCGCGAGCCGCGCCACCAAGCGGCGACGAAAAGTCCACAGAAAGCATACTACCGCCTTGATAAGGCACGGGCTGTTCGTTCTCGAGCTGCTTTCTCAAGAGGGCAACCAGGTCTGCAGATTCATACACAGACTGCCCCTCCGAGCCTGTCATTCTGCAAAGACAGACTCTGAAGACTGCCGATACGACTTGGGACCTATCTCAAGATGGGAAGCGCTGGGTAATTTTGCGTTCCTGTTGCAATTAGAATAGTCTGTATGGACAGATGCCAGACTACACTCCGATGCAGCACTGTTTGTTGCCCGTCAGCACGCGTCCGATTTGATTATCCGAGGCAAAGCAGCAGTGAAGCGGGATCTGGGACCGTACGCGCGACCAGTTTCGCAAAGGTGTCCCGAGTGAATATAAAATGTGAACCATCTACCTGTAAACGTTCAAACGCCACTGCCCTCCAAGAAACACGGCCTCCCCAACAAAGAGTTAAGGTCGGATCGGCTTGCTCCGTAACAATCACTAGCAAGCCATAGGAACAAGTCACTTTCTGCAAAGCAATGACCGATTTTTGATGACGCAAATCGAATAAAATGCAAAGGGCATCAAGCAACTCACCGAGAAGAAGAAGAAAACAAGCTTTGCAAGCTCAACCTAGCACAGGAGATAATACGGCTTGTGGGAAAATTAGAAACATTCAAAAAGCGGGCTAGGAACAAAGTTTAGAAATGGCAAAAGGCAAATTAGGCGCGCCGCGTAGGCACCGATGGCCACTTGGCAGGTTGGCATTTCGACCCGGAGTTGACGTGAATCTGAGATGAATGTGAACAGACAAGTTGCAGAACGCCGAAGTGCGCGGTGCACGGAGCTCATCGACGGCCAATTCCACGGCCGGGCCTGTGAAAGAAGGGCTCAATCGTGCCTGACTTTCTAATAGACATAAGTGCTAGCCCACGTGAACCGTGTACCTGTTACAAAGTTCAAAGTTCGGTGAAATTAGGTGCGTGAGATACGTGCTTGGCTGTGACATGAGTAAGTCCAGATGTCGGCGTTCCTACTCAATTCATCTCGGTGCAATTGAACCTAGAAAATATCTCCCGCCTCGAAAAAGTGCAGCATACATACTCTCATTCTATTCGTCACAATGCTCTGCAGACTGTACCACGGCACAAACCCTACGTTACTCCCACCCCGGCCATGAATCAAATTACAATTGCATATATTCTTACTATAGACAGTGAGCGAACCCGAGGCTACAACGCCAAAACCACCCTCAACAGTAGACATGTACTCCTCCTTGGTAATGTCGTCAACGTTCTAGTACAAACATTAGAGCAAAGGAAGCGGGGTCATGTCAGTCATATCACCAGGAACCTCAGGCGTTGACCGACAGTGGCTTCGTACGCGATTCAAGGCAAAATGCCATCAGAGAGAACCTGCAACATCGTGTCTAACTTAGTTTTTGCGTTTTAGTTCGGGGCATGGGTGCAGCATGGCGGAAACTATTGCGAGTTGGGCTCCGAGACCAACGGCCCTCTGCAGCGAGTCCCATGGTAGATTCGGGCGGAAAAAGTCGTAACAAGTGTTGCACAGTACGCGCTGGAGATTTCAGTCTCAGTGGGGAGTTCAAAAAACTGTCATTCATTTTGTAATTTCCACTAACCTGTCGAATACCTAGATGATGTCAGGGCAATGGCCAGCCATGTTAGCTTTTTATATGGCTCTGGTGCGAGAGAAGAGACTGCTGTAGACAGCATCCACAACTGGAGATGCATTAATCATCCTGCCGCCAAAGTATCTTCCGTTTAAGCCCTTGATGGCATTTTCACCGCCTTGGACCTTGTCGAACTTGAGATAGACGTCACCCTTGGAGTTCGGATCGACGGCAATATGAACAACATGTCCATATTGCCTCTCAGCTTCCGCTCGAATGTCGTCTTCGAGTTCCTTGACCCAGTCGTCGCCCTCTTCCCTAATTGTCGAAACCGTCAGTTAGCCTATTCAAGTGTAAACAGATGTGGTCATGCTGTACTTACTCTTCGGGGTCAAACATATTGTGCAGGACAACACAGCGACTAGCCATGTTGACGTTGACAGGAAGCGGCTTCGCTTCGGTCTTGGGCTTCACAACGACCTGGTCTTCTCTTCCATTAGAGGCTTCGTCGGTCCTGGCAAGTTTTCTCATCAATGCATCGCGACTGTAATTATTGAAGTTTACTCCTGCGACATCTGTGTCATCGAGGGCGCTTGCGCCGCCGGCCTTGTCGCTGTCTCGTCCCCCGGCTCTATCAAACGTAGAAGCCTGGCCACCGCGGCCGCCGGCTCCAGAGAAGGCGGAGCCTTGGAAATTGTTCTGTCCTGAAAACCTATGCATCAAGTTGGCCGTGCTCTCAGGGGTAAACTTATCGTTGCCCAGGCCGACTCGGATGGGTCGGCCTGCAAGATCAAAGCCGTTCATCTTCTCCAAAGCTTCTCGGGCCTGGGTTGCGTCACGGAACCTGAAATATCGCAGTTAGAATTTTGTTTCAAGTATTCACGAGAGAAAAACAAGAGGAAGCAAAGTCGAGGGATGGCTTACTGAACAAATCCGTATCCACGGCTGCGGCCATTATCGTCCTTCTGGAGTTGGACATACTCCAGTTCACCAAATGGCTCAAAGACGGCTTGTAGGTCTTGTTCCGTGACGTTGAAGTGGATATTGCCAACATAAAGGCGGTGGAAAGGGACAGAGTTCGGATTTCCACTCGTCGACTCGGTATTGCGAGCTTGTCGATTCTTCTCAGCTTCTGTGAGCTTGACAATAATAGGAATACCTGCCAATGGCTTTCCAGTGAGCTGAAGTGCCTTTTGAACCGTTTCTTCGTCTTTGAATTCAACATAACCAACTCTAGAGGCAAGCATATTAGTACAAGATCACTCACAGCCATCAAAGAACAGGCTTGGACTTACCCCTTGGATCTTCCACTGATGCGGTCCTTGACGATCTGGGCCTCGTTTACCGGGCCGGCATTCTCTTCAAAGAACCTCTTCAACTTGTCACTTCGCAAACGAGCAGCAAGCTGCTGCACGAAAACGGTACGGCTGTCGCGTTCGTCCTCATTCAACTGCGGTGAGCGAGATCGTCTGCCGGAAGATCGATCTCTTGTGCGACCTTGGTCCCTGCGGTTGGAGCGGTCGCGACGGTCTCTGCGATCTCTGTCATCTCGGGGACGATAACGCCGGCGAGGGGATCTTGAGCGGGAGCGGGAGCGGCCTCGTCGTCCACGATAGTAATCACCGTCCCTGTGTCGGCGTGAGTTGTACCGGTCTCTATCCCGGCTTTCACTGCGGCGTCTACTGCGGTGGCTTCCAGTATCACTCCGGGGGGTAGTCTCGCCTGGAGTGCCCTTACGGTGTCTTGGAGAAGTGTCCCGACGATCGCGTCGGCGGCGATCTTGGCCAGCGTCCCGGTCGCGGTCGCGGCTGTCATCAGTTCCATTTTGGGGACGACCATTTTTGTCGCTTCTAGAAGAGTCATCATTCTGGGTATTGGAGTTTTGTTGTGCTGAACCTTGGGCGGTAGCCTCCAAGAGGGCTTCGACGTCTAAGCCCGACATGATCACCTACTCTCCAGATTTTGCGGGCTTCGCAAGGATGCGCTAGCTATATAGATGAAATTGTGTCAAAATCTTTGGCCTTGCAGATGATAAATAATGCTTTTCAATGTGTCGTACGCTGCGGGTATACGCGGTTGGCGAACATGGGATGTGTTGGTTGAGATCAAGGACTGATCGTCAGGCTCCGAAGTGGAGGCGGCGACAAGACGATCCATGTAGATCACGTGATGGGGCGGCGCCAAATTTTGCACTTGCGGCTTGCGGCACTTGCGAAGGGGATTATGGGGGCACGAGGCTGTCAAAAATCCCGCCCTACTGCTAAACCGTATCGGATATTTCAACTACACAGGACGCCGGGAAACCATGTAGAGAAAAAGAAGTAATGTAGTATTAAGGTAAATCTGCCGTGTCCAAGTGCTACCTGACAGGATATCAATGTATAACATGAGCATCTCTCCACGTTCATCGTCTGCACCTACCAAGCGGCGCATTCTTCATTGTTGATGCTGTGCGCCACCAGCGGCAATTATTAACAATTATTAAAGTCGTCTTATACGTCAACTGCCCAAACCCGCCAACGCCGTGCCGATCCAGGCAAATGTGAAAAAAAAAAAGCATGCATGTAGAGCAAATGTACAGCGGCTCAAGGATCTAGTGGAGACTGTTTTGGAATCGCGTCTACCGACACGGGATTTACTTGGTCTTGATGGAGGTTTGTAGCTCCGTGCCAAAAATTTGATCCCAGAACTTGCTGGTGACGCCAAAGCCCAGTTCATAGTCGAGAAAGTGATGGGCAAGATGGTACTTCTTTAGCTGCTTGTACCACAAGGGCAGGTTCGTGTGATGCAGGAAGTAGTGTGTCAGGTCGTAGCAGATGTAGCCAAAAATGCCGCCACAGTAAACAGCAGTAGCCGCATGCCAATTGTAGAAGAAGATGGCGTGGGCCAGCTTCCAGAATGGAGAGGCCAGGATGACAAACAGAGCAGGAGGCATAACCAATCGATACTTGTCCATTGGGAGATAGTGATGGATTCCATGGAGCAAAAAGTGCAATGTGATGAAAACGCGGTTGTCCGGGAGGTAGCTATATTCACGGGTCAGCGGCTTGCGGCATCGGTGGCCACGAGATAGGAACGACTTACTCATCCAAGTGGAACAGGAATCGGTGTAGACAGTATTCTACAAAGGTCCAGAAAAAGACACCGAATACCCAGTAGCCACCCAGGACAAATGGATTATGAAGCCCCTGGCTAGCGATATAAGTACCGTATGCTACAAAGGGCAGCCACAGCGACGGGACAATCCACCAGGGGGTCTTGGTGAGCGGCTCTAGAAAGTTGCCGAAGAGAGGCGCTGATTCACCACCCTTGTAGTGACGAGGGCGATGAACTTGGTCCAAATAGAAGGCTTTGCTGAAGCCGCCGTTCCAAACCTGCAGGAACAGAGGCCTGCTTAGGTCCAAAAACTTGTGCTTTTTGAAATCCTGGTTGTAGTCGGTGTCCTTGCTAAGGTCTTCCTCGCACGACATGCCGGTTCGCGGGTGGACGTAATTGGCATCTTCGGAGGTTGCAGTCCCGTTGGCAGGTTTGGCAGAGCCATTCGCGGCGGGCGACTTCTGGTTGACGACAAAGCCGACGAGTGAGTCGTCAAGCACCTCGTATGCAGCCTCAGAGTGAGGGTGCGACGTGGGGTCCTTCAGTATCTCCTCGACATCCTTGCCAGCATAGTCAATGATCAAGCTGCCGCCACCAGGGTGGTCGTCGACAAAGTCAGTCACATCGTAGACCTTGGATCCAATGGTAACATAGCACGAGGAGGCAGAGTTGTGCGCCTCGACCTCTGCGCGAGTAAAGGTAGGCAGCGTCCTGGCCGGCATCGTGACGTCTGGTAATATTCGGTCGGTTCGGGATGGGCAGTTGGGCCGACGGTGAAGGTATTTGCAGGTCGCGCCACAGGAGTTTAAAGGGGAGCCGCAGTCGATGTGCGCGCTCTTTCGGGGTTCGACAAACTACTGAAGTAGAGGGAATGCAGCTTACAAACAGAAATAAAGGATGAAGAACAAGGGACGAAGATATGTGCAGGGCACGGGAAATATTAGAGCGGGCGAGACATGAGGATGGTAAATGTCAAAGGCGAATCATGCGACAATATTTGGGTGGAAGGTTTTAATGACGATGCTCCTTTGGTCTTAGCGGTGCGAGGCATTGACCGGCACACACATGCACTCACACAGGCACCAACATGCGTTGAAGGTACTCTGTGGCAGCACTGGGTACTTGGGGAACATGGAAACCCGGGCTGCGGTGCCCGCCGCTAATTACAGGAACGAGCGGGTGCCGAGGACGCAAAGTGGCGTTACTCTGGGTCGATTTGTCGCAGCACTGAGGTGTCAGTCATTGGGGATCGAATCAATCTCGTTGCCTCAAGTGCTCGGGCAATTGTAGGGCAGAGGTAAGCAGTAAGTAGGCTATCCATTTGTCAAATGGAAACCCGGACAATCTCCACCCTCCGCCTCGTACGTACATGCCATTATGGGCGTGTACAGAGGGTAGCGTGGCTAGTATGAAGGGAGACTGGGGAAAAGTTGCATGATTAGCACCCGACCAGGCCGAGGAGACGCGGATGTTGGTGCCCTGAGCGGTCTGGTGTGTTGGAATAGGCGAGTTAGTCACGTGAGGATAAGATAAGAGCAACCAGGTACACGTATTTATTATAGTGAGCATTGCCCCCAACCGTCAGGTTGGTGGGCAAGGTTAATACAACTAAGTTGGGCACACATAATTTTTCAACAGTGCCCCTATGACTGTAGCGTGTTTCTAAAGGACGGAATTATCCTCGCTGTATATGTCGATGACCTGCTTATTTCACTGAATTTCTCCTTGGACTAGGCTTCACGCAGTGCCCCTATGACTGTAGCGTGTTTCTGAAGGACGGAATTATCCTTACTGTATATGTTGATGACCTGCTTATTGTAGGGCCCAATAAGCACACCATCTAAGACATATACAGCGAGGATAATTCCGTCCTTTAGAAACACGCTACAGTCATAGGGGCACTGCGTGAAGCCTAGTCCAAGGAGAAATTCAGTGAGGGTTTGGTGCCAGATCCTTGGCGATTACCGAAGGACAACAAACTATGATCTTCTGGTGCACAAGAGCTGGCAATGTTGCGTCAATGCGTGGCACAAGTAGAGCATAATAATAATACTAGTCGGCAGGAGATTTTATGATTTTGCTCCAGAGCACAACAACAAGCCCCTCAGGCTCCATTCATCTAATCTCCGGATTCCTACAAACACCAAGAGCTAGCTTCCTTATCTCTTCGCCAACGCCGCCTCTATTGCCTTCGACGACTTATCCGCCAGGAATTTCAATGGCTTAGAGCTTAGCAGCGCCACCAGCCCGACTCTGCGCATCTTGAAAGAGGGTGCCGTTTAGATACTTGAGCCCCGAGTCCACAGCAACCGTAACGACCGTCTTGCCGGGTCCTAATTCCTTGGCCAGCTGCAGAGCGGCAACGACATTCAGCCCCGATGACGTCCCTACAAGAAGGCCCTCCTCCTTTGCGAGCCGGCGACAAATAGCGCGCGCCTGTTCCTCGTCGATGGCTCGAACTTCATCATACAGATCCCGATTGAGGTGCTGTGCGACGAAACCCGGGGCAACACCCTCAACAGAATGTGTCCCCGTCACGCCCTGGGTCAGCAACGGCGCCGACGCAGGTTCAAGAATGACAATCCGCGTCGACGGGGACTTTGACCTCAACACTCTCCCTACGCCCATGGCCATGCCGGCCGTGCCAACAGCTCCGCAGAATGCGTCAATCCCCCCAGGGACCTGTTCAACCAGCTCGTGGCCGATGCCCTCGTATCCAACCAGAGCGTCTCGATTGAGGAACTGGTTGGTGAAGTAATGGCCTTGCTCCCGGCCGATTTCCGCCGCTCGCTTGTTCATCGCAGGCAGCAAGTCTGGCGTCAGCTTTCCAGACGGACTGTGTGTAATGTCCAGGTCTGCTCCCAGCGCAGTCATCGACCGCAGCTTCTCCACGGCGACGGCGTCTGAGCAAAGAACTCGGAACCGATAGCCCTTTGCGGCGCAGACGAATCCCAGCGACGATCCGGTACTGCCGCCCGTGGCTTCAACCACCGTCATGCCGGCCTGGAGATCCCCGCGCTTCTCGGCTTCTTCAATCATGGATTTTGCCATTCTGTCCTTGTAGGATCCGGTAGGATTGTAGAACTCCAGTTTGATGTAGACGTTGGCGTATCCGGCCGGTACGACGTGCTTGAGCTGCACCACGGGTGTTTTCCCAATTGCGTCCAAGATGGAGCCCATGGCAGCTGGCGCGTGTGATTGCATGGTTTGGTGTGTTGTGAATTCAAGTGCACGATATGTATCTTGTACGTGAAACACCAGGAGCGGGAGGGAAAATACCTCTCCCTGCCCAGTCTATTAATTGATATACCTCAGCTTGTAAAGCAAAGGGCGTGAAACAGGCGGGAAACCATTCACGCCTTCTATCAACACGCAGTGGAATGGTCGACACCTATTTGCAGAGAGAATCCACTTCAGTCTGTGGCTGAATGTATTTGCCTACCGGGTAGTTTACACCAATCTGCTATTATTAAGTTTAAAGAAACTAACATTTTAACTTATTTTGATAATTTTGATGTATCTAAATAATTGACATCAGGTAAGGCCCAATGGAAGCAACACAATGTAGCTAGCTACACCTAAGCCCGAGAACCGCAACAGGCCAGACCACATCGCGATACGTCAGACACCAGCACACTAATATGCTATGGTATATCGCGTGACAGCCGGGCACATGATCTGGTCAAGTCCTATTTGCCTCCTATTGTATCCTAATAGGATCCGTCACACGCATGCGCATCATTGTTGGCCATTAAAGAACTCATCAGTCCGATACCAGAATTCAAGTAAATATCGTACTGTATACTCTTTAGAGAGTTCATATCGGATTATTGGCTCGGTGTGGGATGCTCCAAATACTCAGGTAGTTGGCCTTGGCCATGCATGGGCAAGTGCATCCCTACCCTTCTTCAACCCCTAATACCTGGACCGCCGTGACATACAAAACGCCCGAGTTGTCTTGAATACATGGAGTACTGCGGCGGGGAAATTCTTGAGCTGGCTGCTTGACTGTTGGGTCGAAACCTCCCCGAGGAGCTCGCCGCTGGATCCGTTTGGTGTCGGTGCCATGGGCATTCTTGAGCAGTAGACGCCGCTGCGAAATTGCTCAAATAGACATGGAGTGAGGACAAGTCCACGGTGAGTAAGACTATATATGTACCTGACAGGGTTGCTTTCACGCACTCAGCGGCAGAGGCTATCGCGAGATGGCCTTCACCGGCGCGCCGCGAGTCTGGTAACTCTCCACGCACTCGTCTGCAAGAGCTAGCCATTCCATGCACGCAGTGTACACCGGAAGCGAGTTTGCAATACTCTCAGCCCCTGAAAATCGTGCGTTGACGGCGTCTTGTATGAATATTCGTAGTCGAGCTACGCCGGAGCTCCTCTCCGTCATGGCCAGGGGGAGGTGTACAGCAGGCAGGACAGTTCCCATGGCCAGCATGGCCGTCTCATAGTTTGCCATGTACAGGTAGAGCAAGAAGTCATTGGACAGGAACCGGTCTGGCGAACGGGGAACAAAGCGCAGCCAGTTGCGGATGGGGAACATGGTCGACAGCTGGTCCTCGAGCGACAGATGCTGCCAAGTTCGGTGGCGTACATTTTGAAGAAAGATGAGGAGCTCTCTCGCCGCAGACTCGAGCTCGCTATCTAGCTTGCACTTGCAAAGGCTGCGGATAGACGCGGTCGCTGATTCCAGGAGTCTTTGCCCTTGCCGCATCGGCTGCGGCGGGCTGTCCAGGGAGCCTTCGCCCCGTGGCTCGTTCACGGCGGAATGCAGACCTTGTACGGCGACAAGGGGCGCTTGGTTGTCTGCCGTATATGGCTCGAGAAACTGCGTGCTTCATGTGTCAGCCCAAGCTCAGTCTAGGCTCTTATCATGGTTCGCTTCTAGGGCCGTCCAACTTACGGCAAGCGTGCCTTTGAGATAGCTACTGTACTCGGTTCTGCAGCAACGCAAGTCAGCGCGGTGCATTTCTTGGTTCACGCCTTGTGCTTCTTACGGGTTTGGGCTGTACCACGCCATCAGGATCGAGGACGCGATGAGCCCTTGTGACATTTCTCGTTGGCGCTCGCGGCTCTGAGAGCTTATGCTTTGCATTTCTCGGACCATTCCGTGAATTGCAAGACCTCTGAAGCGGCTTTCTAACAAGGACATGCGAGACAGACTTGTGAGGGTTCTTAAATGCCCCGCTCCGATGCTGCACAAGCAGTGCCTGAGATGTTCAAAGTTGCCAGCCATGGCAAGGAAGCTGTTGGGCGTTTGCTTGCCGTCAGCAGCCAGGGGCAAGACATCAACAACAAATAAATGGCATATTCGCCTACCTTGAGAACTGGTTAGCGCCCACCAAGAACCCCTGTTCTACGGCCGGCATGATGCCTTTACGGATGACACATAGTTGATATAGCAAGGCCTCTGCCTCTGGCGGCGTCGGGTTCGGCCAGCCAAATTGAGATATCATGGACAGATAGCTCAGAGGCGAGGGTGTTCTGACTACGGTCGAGGAGGCCGCCAGGGCTTCCTGGGGTGTACCATAGCTACAGCTGACGGGCTGGCCTCGCGTGAGAAGTCGTTGGCACTGAGTACTGGCAACCTGGTGAGCTGGGCTACCGATATGCCGGGGCCGGAGTGTCGAACCAACATGGCTTGAGCTCGTCGCATTTCACCCGTCTCCTCCGACACGTGCTACAACCACTGCGGACCTTGCGGTGAGTCCGTTTCATCATTCGGATTGAATGGGGGCCTGGAGGCCGAAGGTCGAAGATGGATGACGCAGGAGGTTGTGATCGTCATACACATTGCAGACCCGTTTATCCCGGCGTCACATGACTAGACGTGTGTATAAACCCACGGAACATGTTCTCTACAAACTTTGCTTTCTTGAGCCTAGCCACTGGGAATAAACACGCAGATCAATCGCTTTCAGGAATCGTGGCGCGCTATTTCCTCTCACTGCTTGCTATGAGCTGAGACCGGCTTGCTCCATCAGTCGTGCGAAGCTCTCACGGCATCCGAAAGGCTTTAAAGGAGCAACAGTATCCGAAACCAATTTTCAGCTCATCCAACGTACTCGCGCCCCTATATCTCCCTACTGAAAGTTCACGGGGCTGACGAGATTGAATAGAATGGAACGTGTTCCAAGGAATGAGAAGTTGCTGCAACTAGCTCCATGCTGTCCATTCCTCTGCCCTGCCCTGCCCCGGCCAAGCTCATCTCACAATTGCCGAGCAACAGGCCAACCCAGCAACTAAAAGTACGCAAGCGCCAGCCCGGAAAGAGCTCCGACGCCGTCGTAGATTCGGGTCTTGTGTCCACCGTCCGCGTCGAGCCTGTACAAGCTGCCGCCGAGGTCGGTCGCGTACACGTGCCCCTTTTTCAAGTCCAGCTTGACCGCGATGGCCTCGTGCAAATCGCGAGAAAGGAGCGTGTAGTCCCTGCCCGGCACGCTCGTGGCATTGCCCTGGACGGGCCTGGCCTCGTCGAGCCTTGCCGAGTTGATGCTGTTCCCCGTGGGAAGCTCGCCCCTGTCGCTCCAGTAGAGCACGTTGGCGGCCTCGTCAATGTCCAGGTCGATGGGCTCCGGCAAGTTTTGGAACATGACCTCAATGTCCGTCCGGTTGCCGGCTTCTTCTCCCGGCAGGAAATCGATATTGGCCCGGAATATCCGTCCCTTGTTCCCCTTTGAAGGACCCTTTTGAGTCCAGTAGAATTTACCCGTTGATGGCGACACGGTCACGCCAACACACCACCTCATCTGGTCGGCCTTTTCTTCATCGTTCCGCCAGTCTCCGTTCTGGATCAGCGTTTCCAGGCCGAAGCCATCAAAGTTGCACCGCCAAACCTTGAGACCCTCCCGATCTCCGAAATATATTTTGGAGTTCTTGTGGTCGATGGTGAGCTGCTTCGGGGTGTGGACCGAGCCGCGCGGAACAATCTCCTTGACATGACTCCCGTCGAGGTTGGAGCTGAAAATAGCGCCGTCTGGTTGGGACGGATTCCCCATGCTGGTCCAGAAGAGCTTCTTGGCCGAGGTTGAGACGTCAATACCGTCAGGCATGTGCTGGTTTGACACCAGGGTGCGAAAGGGCCTCCCGTCCGGCGAGCCAACCATGATGCGGCCTGCGTTCAGGGCATCAAGAGGGTTGGAAGCAGAGAGCCCAATATCGAGGACATAGAGGGTAGGATCGAGGATGTTGCCGCTGTCGCCGAGGTGGTGTGCTGGCCCAGTCGCCTGCTGGGGAGGAAGAAGCCCGCCCTTGGCAGACTTGGCTCCCAGTCTTCCCTCGTCGAGGAACTTTTGCAGGAACTTGAGAGGCTGGTCGGACAACTTACGTTCCGCAACATAATGCTGCTCGATAAAGGCGACAGTGTCCAAGCCGATCTGGTCCATCATGGCCACCGGCCCGGTCTGACTTCCAGACCACATCTCGATCCAGAGGCCATCCAGCTCTTGCGGTGTTGCCACACCCTCGGCGAGGATACTCAGGGCCTCGCGCTTGATAGCAGCCCACATGCGGTTGAAAATAAGACCAGTGGACTCCTTGTGCGCCACGTAAGGATGCATACCGGTTTCTTTAAGCTTGTCCACTAAGAAGGGGAAGATGGTCTCGTCAGTCTCGCCGTCCGTCATCAACTCAACGATGCGGTTTCCCGGCGGCATATAGTAGTGCATGTTCAGAACGCGCCGCCTCGTCTCTCTTTGGAGATTCCCAACCATTTCTCGAGACTTGTACGAGGACGAGTTGGAGGCAAGGACGGCGTCTTGCGTCGTGAGCTTTTCTAGGTCGGCAAAGGTGGATATTTTCAGGTCCAGTTTCTCGGGGACCGCTTCGACAACCAGCCATGCCTTCTCGACAGCCTTTTCCAGGTCATCCAGGGCCTGTACGGTGCCGCGCTTGGCTGAATCTGAGTAGTCCGACATGCTGGTGTTGCAGTACTGCACCGCTGCAGCCCTCTGCTCCGGGCTGGGATCGCGGATGACGACGTCGTAGCCGCTGGCCGCCCAGCTACAGGCTATTCGTCGACCCAAAACGCCGCCACCGAGTACGGCGACGACGCGGCCGACGGTTGAAGGTAGCTGGAAGCCCATGGCTTGTGTTGGATCACGAATGGATGCGCGAGGAGTGAGTTGGGTCGGAATTGAAGAGATCTGGGTACCAGATCCCGTATAGAAAGAGACTACGGTGATGGTACGATCCGTAGAGGGACACGGTTGAAACTTATATAATCGGCAACGGGCAGCAAGTCTAGGGAGTTGCGCTGTGGCGTGGTCATTGCATCAATCATGGAGCCGTTGATAGGTACGACTCGTCCATGTAAAGCTAAATCGAAGTCTTCCCATCTCCCCGATAAGGAATTACACGGCCGGCGCTATGTTAGTGCAGATGGGATCTCTGCTTCGGAAGCACGGGGCGACGAAGCTTCGTCCATCCGTGGACTGGTTGATGGGCCACGGGCAGCGGCAATTGCCCCCGGTTGCTGGCGAATGGACCAAGCTAACAACATTGCAGGCCCTGCTCGTACGTATTGACGTATGTAGTTTTGGGCGGTTCGGCCAGCTCGGCCAGCTCGGCCAGCACCGAAACTCAATGCGGTATCTGAAGATGTGGAAAGGCAAGTGCCGAAACTGCCTAGTAGATCAATGCCTCGCAACGACTTCGTTCACGTACAGCCTAGCCACTCTGGGAATCAACTAATAACTACCTAGGTAAGTATCCACAGATTCGAGCAACATGTCAACTGGTAAGCCCCGCTCTATCTGGTACTCTCGGAATCATGTACTATTGTCCGCGGAATAAAATGGCGTGTAAACCTCGATCTATCTACCACACGTGTAATGCGACGCTAAGGTTGCCAGTTGCCACCTAGACTATGCTGTAACTGGCAGCTGGTGACAGGAGTCTAGCTTGGCTGCCGCTTTGCGCTAACTCGGCTCAAATGGATGCACGATCTGATGGATCCTCTTGGCTTCGTTTATGCTCGGCCTAACCTGAAGAAGACAAACAAGCAAAGTCCAAGAGCTGGTACCTAGGTAGTTAATGTAGAATTTAATAGTTTTGTACTAATATCAGGTGTATCTGCTGTCAAAATCTATGCTTTCGTATTCTCATGTAATCCACTTCAAGTATATCCTGCGTGACTTTCCCCTATTATTATCATGGCGTTCTCTATTCGTTACATGTATACACCCCCTACCATGACGTGAATATGCATGCCAAATGTGGCATTGCCTCGGCAGTTTGCCGTCCCAGAATAGGCACTACGTACGTGGCGAGCCCGATAATTCACGCAAAAGTGTTGCACTGATGTAATATCGACAAGTACCGAGCCGAGCTAGCCGGATGAGCCGATTGGCCCGGCGGGCAAAGATAAAAGATTGTTACCTATCTAGGTAGTAATGCTTCAATTAGACATCCGTGTCGCTTTAGTGAATCGCGATGCTAGAAACCAGCTTTCCATCCAACTATAAAGGCGCACTGTCACGGACGGCTCTCCAAGACGCTGTTCCATTCGCATTGGGCTTTGCAGCAAGCATCACCTCCGTCACCCATCTTACTTAGAGCCGCTCCATCCGAATTTGCCCTTATCCGTATTACAATCCCTCAACACCATGTCCATCCGGACAGTTGGCGTGGTTGGCACCGGGGTAATCGGGTCCTCATGGATAGGCCTGTTTCTAGCCCACGGCCTCCAAGTCATTGTTTCCGATCCTGCATCAGGCGCCGAGCAAAAGCTCGCAGACTACCTCCACGCCATCTGGCCGACCATGGAAAAGTCGGGCCTGGGTCCGAATGCAGCATTGACCAATTACCGCTTCGTGGGCGCACAATTCAAGCATCATTTTGCCAATGTCGACTTTGTCCAAGAGGTACCTGCTTCCACGTCTCGATCAGTCACCCTTCCCTTTCTAATATATGCCCGCACTTGCGAAACAGAATGCGCCAGAACGCATCGAGTTGAAAACCGATATCCTTGGCGAGATAGACGCCGCGACTCGCCCAGACGTTGTTATTGCGTCGTCTTCATCCGGCATACCTAGTTCCCGGTTTATATCGAAATGCGCCGTCAACGCAGGGCGCGTGCTCATAGGGCATCCCTTCAACCCTCCTCATTTAATGCCGCTCGTCGAGGTAGTCCCCCACGCTGAGACGGCGGCAGCGAGCACGGAAACAGCCATGAATTTCTACAAGTCGCTGGGTCGAAAGCCCGTGCTTATTCGCCAGGAGATACCTGGCTTCGCAGCCAATCGTCTCCAGGCAGCGGTCTGCAATGAGGCATATAGCCTCGTGAGCCGTGGTGTTTTATCGGCACAGGATCTAGGCGAGTCGACTTGTGCTTGGACAACTTACCTGTGTATATGTTTGCTAACTCGTGAATTAGATACGTGTGTTACCAGTAGTCTTGGGCCGCGTTGGGCTGTTACCGGCCCGTTGCTGTCAAACGCCATGGGGGGCGGAGGCGGTACTGACGGCTTCAAGCATTTCCTGGAGCATTTGGGGCCTGCCACCAGGAGTTGGATGGACGATATGCAAGCTCATGCGTTTCAGTGGACTCCCGAGGGTCTCGCGACGCTGCGGGAGAGTGTTGCTAAAGAATTGCAGGGCAAGGATACCAAGGAGCTGGAACGAAAAAGGGACCAGTGTCTTGTGGAAGTCCTCCGGGTAAAGGGTGACATGTAGACTTTTTCTTATGAAACAGGATAGGTTAAGGGGGGCAAGCTCTATGTCTTTTACAAGGTGAGGCTGTCGAGGTATGGGCGTGGGCTGATGGTTATTATTTGCTCTTTGCACAACTCAAGCAAGTTGCTCCTTTGAGGTCATTACACTGTACTGAGTAGCTTCCGTGCTTCTAGTATTCGCCTGGTAATTACTTGGTACCAAGAGCTTTCTATTGTCTGATTGGCCTTTAGCCCTAGCGCCAAGAGACCTTTTTATCATGTGTATAATAGGGATAGATACTCTAGAAATAGCAAGCAAGTAAGTTGATTTGTTCAATATAAAACTTGCCAAAAGTACATTAATATACGAACTCGCTCAAAGCTTATTACTTTATATAGTAATCAACTTTTCACATTAATATTATTCCAGGTCAAGTAGTAAATATCACGAAGCAAATGTGTAGATAAATCAAATTCGATAGTACAAAGATATACACATGGTAATCTTTTACTCAAACATCTAAATCTGGCATTTCGCAGCTGTGTACATGAACAATCCTCCTAATCAACCATCTTTCGCAGCGCAATTCCAAAGTTGTTGTTTTTTTCTTTTTTATAACTGCTAAACCGGACCCAGTATCCACGAAATTGTATCCCATGAGGGCTCGTCAGGACTGGGAAAGTTAGCGATTGCATCAAATACCAAAGAAAAAGGACGACACATACCCAGACAACCAAGCAATCCTGACAAACACGCCCACACGCGCCCTCCTTAGCACGCATCATCGGGGACTGGAGTGGAGGTAGGCGTAGGCTTAGGCTTGAGACGCTCGTCGTCGGGAAAGACGAAATCGTCAGAATATATTGGCCCTCCAGCCTGTCTGGGCTGAGGCTTATCAGCAAGGGCACCAGATTCCGGCGCCCGAGGAGCGGCGGCAACCAGCCCGATGCAAAGGGTAACGAGGGTGATAGAAAACTTCATATTGGCTTAGAATTGATTGAATTGATGTTGTTGGTATCCGAGAAGCAAATAGACGTCGTCGACGGCGGTATATATATGCGACTTGCGATGCAAGGCATACACGGACACGACGGACTTGACGAGTAATGAACTCGGGGGCGTTCTTTGCGATAACATAAGCCGTTGTCCACCCTTGGCTACGATAGTAATTCATGCCTTCATGCCGCGTGTGGGTAATGCGCTTCTCCGAGTCAATGGCATTGGCATGAGATGGGAGCTGATACAGGCTGACTCGTGCCCAGACATAGCCGGAGTCCTTTCATCTGCCCCTAGGTTTCAGCACCGGCATAAAGGTCCGTTTTGTCCAAGACGTCTTGTCGAACGACAATTGTGGCGGATGGATCCGTAATGCCCGGCCACGATTCGGGCCGCTAATCTAATTTGATTCAATGTAATATAAACAGGATAAACGCCATGGTCGCGAGGAAAGCCTTGGATAAAAAGCGCAGACGGATGTGTTGCTTGGTCAAGAACCAACCATTGTCAGCTAAACCGTCCGTCTGAAGGGCCTTGACGGTTTTCGCGGCATGCATGTGCAGAGAACTAATTAATGTAGCCTCATCCAAAGAGTCAAGTTGATGGGACCAGACCAGACACTTGCCCGAAATAGACGGACTCTTGCGCAGGGGCAAAACCTGACATGGAGTGTCGAATGACTTGGCATCGACTCATTCGGCCTCCTCCCCACAGCCTCACTCAGCCCCTTCACGTAATCCAAATCCCACCGGCTTCGATTCAAGAACCTATGCACGGGTTCCACTGACTGCAGAATAATGCCGAACAGTTCATCTATGCTAGGGCTCGCGTTCAGGTGTATCACCGCTCTACATTGAGACATGGAACTTTTCTACTCCACAACTGACTCGCAACAGCATCATGACGCGTGTTGAACCGCTCCATCATTTTGCCCTATTGGGATGCCTGCCGGATTAGCAATCTCCTACTTGCATTTGTTTTCTTGTTTTGTCAGGTTTATTGCGTAGGTAATAAAGGAGAATTGTCTGCTTGGAGGCGGCCGAACTAGCGTCTTTGCATCATCTCAGATAGATAGCAAGCCATTCTTCATCAATGGTTTTATCGGCAAACGGCTTGCAACTTGCAGTGACAACAGCTCATCTCATTCAGAGAGCGAATAAAACTCTCACTAATACGGCCGAGTTGAAACCAAGTCAGCGATAAAAAGGCCGACGAATAAAAGTGTCAAAGACTCTAAGCTTTAATCCCTGAGGTGGGCAACGTCTAGTATCATCCATAGTACGATAGCAAATGAAGAGTCGGCCTCGTGCATGGAAGAATTGTAGTGCAAAGCAACAACATGCGGCTGCCATAATGACTAGACGAATGACGAGACAGATCCTGCAACACATCAGGATCCCGTCCATATTTTCAGCACGAGAGCCAACAACAACGCCACCACGTGTTGAAATAATTGAAATTCCGAGGTATAAATATCCCAAATTGATCTCGAATCAAACACGACTAACCAGCTTACTTTCGGCAGGCCCTTGATGCTAGGTGTCATCATGACAAGACCAAGGCAGTGTGCCCACAAGCACGGCTATGGGGGAACAAGCTCTAGGTGCCTGATCAAGCCAACAGTATTTTGTGTGTTTTTTTCGTCCTCTCATATCCAGAGAACATGCTCTCGCCTGGAAACTGTCCGGGCCGTCTCTTTTTGAAGCAATTCTTGTTGCGCCTGGGAACTATGGTACCGGGAAAATTCACAGGTCAGTGAACATCAACTAGCAATTCGATGCCAACCGGGAGACCCAACTGGGAGGTAGACTGGTTGTGGATGCCTCTGGTCTCATTTCTGGGCAAGGTGTCTGGGTGAATGAGACAAAGAAAGAGGCAACCACGATTTTATCCGCATCTTCCAAGAGCGGGAGTTTGGCCCCCTTGATGTTTGCCTCAAGTCCAACGTGGATTTGTGGCTCTTTCGCGCCCCTCCTATCCCGTTCCACCTATTTGACAGGACAAACGTCACCTTGTATCCACGGAGCTCCCTTCACAGGCAACTACAAAGGTAAAAACAACAGATTAACACTTGATCAAGTTGAAAGCTTGATAGGGCAATTACTGTGACTTACCGTGAAGCAATGTCCGTTCTGTACGTTTTATCCTTGAACTGCACGGCTTGTACGCCTCTATAAGCGAGAGAGACTGCTTCTTCTAGAGTTGACCCATACGACGCCGCACAGAGGACTCTGCCACCAGTCGTTAAAAGTTGCCCATCTGCCGATTTCTCCGTTCCAGCGTGGAAAATCTCCACACCTAGATGCAATTAGTATGTATCAAATCTACGGGACCAGTACCGACAGACCTGATGGACAGCCCTCGACCGTGATGACATCACCTTTGCGGTAGGACTCAGGGTAGCCCCCGGCTGCAACCACCACATTGCAAGCGAATCCGGGACGTACGGGGATAGCTACATCTTGAAGCTTCTTTGTGCAACAGGCAATGAGGATCGTGGCAAGGTCACATTCTGGAGCAAGCAGCATCATCATTGTCTGCGTCTCGGGGTCTCCAAACCTAGCATTGTATTCCAAAACCTTGGGTCCATCTCTTGTTATCATTATGCCAGTGAAGAGCATGCCAGAAAAAGGTCGGCCTAGGACAGAAAATTAGTAACAAGAGATGACGGATGAATTTACAGCATACCTTCGGCTTGAAGAGCCTCAAGCGTAGGCCTGATGATTTCCCGGTCGATTGTCTCGAGATCTTGGGTGGTTAAGAAACTCAGAGGCGCATAAACTCCCATGCCTCCAGTATTAGGACCTTTATTTCCATTAAATATACGCTTATGGTCCTGCCCTGGTGGAAGGGATTTGAAAGCTCCGCAGCCATCCACGAAAGTGAGAACACTGATTTCGTCGCCATCTAGAAATTCTTCGATGACAACAGATTGTCCCGAGAAGCCAAATTTAGACTCAACCATCATCAGACGCAATGCGTCAAGTGCTTCCGCCTCATTGGCAGGCAGCACTACACCCTTCCCAGCAGCCAGACCATCAACCTTTAATACAACACGAGAGCAGTCAATAGATTGCAAATAGGCTCTTGCATCTTCATATTGACTAAAGGTTTTATACTTGGCGGTTGGAATATCGTATTTTTCCATCAAGGCCTTGGAGTATGCTTTGGACCCCTCTATTTCTGCTGCCGCCTTGGAGGGAGAAAAGCAAGGGATACCAGCTGAATGGACTTGGATTAGCTAGACTGTTATATACCCATCATGCCACACAGAAGATACGAGGTAAAGTGCGTACTGCCTTCAAAATATCCAGCTATGCCGTTCACAACAGCATCGTCGGGTCCAGCTACAACGAGGCCAATGTGCTGGTCTCTGGCAAAACAAACGAGCCCCGGGAAATTATCTTGACCGATATGAGAAATATTCGAGACATTGGGAAGATCTTGTGTGCCGCCGTTCCCAGGGACAACGTAGATGTGTTGCACAGATGGGCTTTGAGACAGTTTCCAAGCCAAGCTATGCTCGCGAGCTCCTTTGCCAATGAGAAGGATTTTGAGGGTTGAGGTTGCCATGGCGGAAATCAGTACGCATGACTCGATGGCGCGAGGTAATAGGTGAGAAGGTAAAGAGATCAGATGTTTATTTAACAATGCAAAACGTATTTCCAACTTTCAAAGAGGGGAGAAAAGTCCATACTGAAGCCGCACGACCAACAGCACAGGGCTACTAGTCACGTGGCGGCTAAAGCAAAATGTCTGGTGGCACACTAATAACATGATTTTTTTCTGCTGAACCTAAAGTCGGCCCTAGAGGCCCTATTGAAAAACAAGGGAAAAAATTGAGCGATACCATCACAGCCTACTCCAACTACCGGGCCTGAAAGAGAGAGGGAGAGCGGTGAGCTTTGGATTTCTTAATCCAAATTGACCTCATGCTTTATAATCATACTTTATGTTACTATCACTCTGTACTAGTATGCAGAACAAAGAATTTGTTGGATCATATGGACCACTGTAGACTAGCATTGACGCTACCCTATTGATTTGATTAAGAGGCCGGCAATTGATTTTCTGTTAGCCAGAAGTGCGTTATTCAGTTTGTGCCTCGTGTGTAAAAAGCCAAGGAGCTGGTTAAACTAGGGTCACAACGATGATTCCCAATCTAGCGTGACTGAAATTGACCTGATATTCCAACTTGGTACACCATGATTCCAATACTTGACTTGTGTGGTCTAAACTGGCACTGGCTTATAGTGCTGACTGATTCCATCTACTATGACAAACAAGCACATGCATGTGCCTTGGCGCTTGAAAAAGTGGAGTCTAGGTCTTCTTTCTAGGAACGCTTACATTAAATTTAAAAAAGCCCGCGGGTTATATAGTGTTTGGGGGCATTAATTGTTAAATTAGTCTTTATATAAGTTTTATATTAGTACATACTGGTAAAATACTAGTTTTATGTTGTAATGTAGAATCGTATTGATCAAACCGGCGTTTGCAACTCGCTGGTGCACGGATCATCTACATGTTCAAACGTTGGCGTCAGCCGCGGAGGCTCAAGTAGCCGGTGGCGGGGCAGAGAGCGACCATGGAGGGTCCAACAATGCGAACAGCGCGCCAGCTCAAGATTCCTTGCGGGGCTGAAAATAGCAGCGTTTTGGCTCGGAGTCGAAATCAAGGTCGCCGCCAAGTAGTCCCAGCCGGTCTCTGCACTCGGTCCCTGAAGCCATCGCAACTCTGTTCCTCTATCGCCTTTCCAGTCCATCGCGCCTAGCCTGCGATCGCCTGGTCCATCTCGAAACCTACCATCATCTGCCCTTGTCCAAATCCCACATTCACCTTCCGCAACAGTAGCTTACGACGTCATGTCATCGCCTTCTCTGCCGCGGGGCACGTGGCTCCTAGTGCTCGCCGTCTGCTTGGTCTTGCTTCCTGGCAGGGCTGCCGCCTTTGGGGCTGGAAACATCCCATCCATTGCCCAGGTATGAACAAAGCCGTGATCCCATTTCGAGCTCTCATGCGCACGGCTAACACATTGCCGCCAGGTCGAAGGACACAACTGGCGCCATGGAGGTATGTTGATTTCCACATGGGGCTACCCCGCCAAATATTGACAGCCATTGCATTGTAGATATCGAGGATATGCTCGCCAGTGTCGCCTTCTTGCACGGCAAGAAATGGACCTCCATGCTGATCAAGCGAACCTACTTTGGAAACTGGCTCCGCGATTACTCCCAAGCCGTCGATGTCGGCAGTCTCAAGGGCGTCAACGCCGCCACGATTCGAATCCTCGTGAGTCCCCGCGCCTCGTCGCACACGCCTACACAGCTAACAAGGATTGTCGACAAATCCAGGTCTGGGTTCTCTCATTCATGGCTTTCGGCTATGCCACCGAAGAATTCGAAGTCACCGAGGAGCGTCTCGGCTGCTATCGCCCAGAGGAGCACATCGACAACCCCCTTGGGTACGCAGATGGCGTCGATGCCCGCACCTTCGACCCCCGTCTCCGCGGTCCCGTCCAGCCCGTCGAAACAGAGATTGATATGAAAACGGGAATGAAGAACTACATTGCCAACGAGACGGGACAATGGGCCACCAGTACCGGATACATTCGCTTCAGCTTTGCTCGCAGTATCCACTTTGGCCGCCTCTACACTTGTGGTGAACGTGGCAAGGGCAAGGACGAGAATCTCTGCGAGGCCCTCCGCTGCCTGGGTCAAGCGCTCCATTGCCTAGAGGACTTTGGGGCGCACAGCAACTATTGTGAGCTGGCTCTGCGAGAGCTTGGGTACCACAATGTGTTCCCTCACTGCGGAACCCAAACCGAGATAAACATCCAGGGCAAGAGGATCTATCCCATAGTAACTGGTACCTTTGGTGCCGTTGACTTCTTGCACTCCGTCATTGGCGAAGCCAATGATCATTTTACCCAATCCGAGGTCGATGAAGTTGATGTGGCCCTGAAAAATGCCGAAGGTGCCAGAAGCGGTCCCGTGGCTACAGGCGACAGGGGATTGTTCGACGGCTCTGGTCCAAGCGACTTCATCTCCCTTCTCTCCAAGCTCCCTGATGTTGGAACTGGATTTGCTTCCGAGGCAAGAGACCTCAAGGAAGCTTCTGAAGCCCAGGAGCGAGAAAACCGGCAGAACCAGCAGCGAACTCGTGCCGACAATGCCAACGTCGTACCGGGGATGAGCCCCGACTTTGACCCCGTAAAGACCGCCAAACGCATCTACCCCATCCTGGTGTTCCGCGACAAGATCGTCAAGGCAATCAGCCGTGGTATTGCCAAGGTTCCAGGTCTGGAGAAGCTCCTGGAACACATCAGCGAGACCCTGACTGCCTTTGTATTGGGTCTTCTCGCCCCCTTCATCCGGCCCATCATAAACTCCGTCACCAAAGTTTTAAAGGAAGGCTCATCCGGCGTCATCAGCGCCAGCTCCAAGTCCCAGCTGGAGCCGTGGGAGAACAACAGATGCTCTGATCCTACCCACTCTATGCTGTCCAAGGACCACTTCACCAACGTCCTGAACTCTTGTGCCGGCCGAGTCGCCGCGACAATTCTTCAATACGCGGTTCCGTAAGTTCCACGCCCTAGGTGATCCCGTCTTGCCCTTGTTCAATATCCGCTCACACAACCTCAGTCGCGTCATCTTTGCCTGGGAAAACCCCAATGTCCCCGTAGATGAGGTCGTCAACGACGTCATCCGGGCCTTCCACCACCCAGCCCTGCGCAGCGAAAATATCGAAATTCAGCGTGACATGTTCCAGACAGTACGAATGTGGGCCGACCAGCACCCGCGTCGCCACGAACTCGAACGCATCCTCTCCTCGGAATCCGTCAAGACGGGCAAGAACCACATCCTCAACGGCGCCAAATCGGGCAGCAGTGGAGGCGGCCACTCCCACGGTGCCTTTGACGCCCTCAGCCAGCTCGGCCACGGCAAAGTCGCCGGCTCACTATGGTCCCAGGTTCGCACCCGCGATTTGGACTCCATGTCTGGAAATGACGGCGAGCAGGCCGCCAACTACGTATCCAACTCTCCTGCTCCGGAGACAAGCAAGATGCCCACTCCGCCGTCCTATACCTCGACGAGCGGGGGAGGAGAGGCGGCTTCGTACATGAACGAATCCAACACCTTCCAGGCAGGCTACAATGCCCCCCCACCCCCGGGACAGTATTACCAGGGCTACGGCCAGCAACCTCCTCCCGGTGGTCCTCAGGGATATCCGGGAACCCAACAGTATGGTGCGCCGCCTCCAGGACAATGGCAGCAGCCGCCCCAGGGGTACGGCGGTCCACCCCCGCAGGGATATCCCCCCTACGGACAAGGTCAGCCGCCTTCTTGGAACCAGTATCCCGGCCAGGGACGCTACTAGATACAAAGCTCAAGTATGTTTGGATGATTTCACGGAATTCAGGTTTTAGTAGGGGTTGTTGGGAAAATAGGCTCTGAATATGAGGTATGTCGATATGAATTACATGGACGTGTATGTAGAGACGAGTCTTAAAAGAGCCGTCGTCGATATTTTCAAAAAAAATTGTCTTGAAACCATGTACTCAGAATCGTAAGCCATCCACCAAGCAGTCCATTTATATGTATATCGTCAGCACACCGCCTATGCAGCCAAGTATCTAGTGGTCGCTACATGCAAACTCCACCCTATGCCCATCCATCACCACACCCAAGGCATGCCGCTCATGACGAAAAATTGATTGCACACAAAGACTGAATGAACAAACCTCACCTCTTGCCCCTCCTCGGGTCCTGCGCCTCCGCTTTCCTAATGTCCCTAATCTCCTTGGTGCCCATGCTGCCCAGCCCGCCCTCGGACCGTCTCTCCCACCCGCCCAGCCGGACAACCTGACAGGTGGCGTTGTCGCCGTCCCTGGACACCTCGGTCGCGTACTCGACGACGTTGCGCGCCCCCTGCTCGGGCGTCTTGGCCTCCTTGATGACGTCTACGATCTCCTGGTCGCTCAGGGTGCCCGAGACGCCGTCGCTCATGAGGACGAGGAAGGAGAACTCGGCGGGGCCCATCTCCACGCGCGTGATCTCGGGCTCGGCCGACACCCCGATGCGCTTGGACTTGATGTCGCCAAAGGCGCGCGAGTTGGCGAGCCCCGCGATGCGCTCCTCGCCAAAGGAGTCGCCCGTGACCATGGAGCCGGCGGGCGCGTAGCGGCGGAGGCGCCGGCTCTCCGTGGGCGTCGTGGGGTGGTGGTCCGACGTCAGGGGGTGGGGGAGGCCGGTGGCCGTCTCGCACAGCAGGATGCGCGAGTCGCCCACGTGCGCGGCGACGAGGGTCGAGTGCGCGGCCGGGTGCCAGAACGGCGCCGTCGTGGGCGTCGATATGAGTGCCACCGAGGCCGTCGAGCCGCCCTTGAAGCGCGTGGTTCCGCCGATGCCGTGGCCCGACGGCGTCGCGTGGGGGGCGCCCAGGATCTCGTCGTCGTTGAGGGGCTGGTCCGAGTCGTCCGGGTCGGCTTTGCGAGCTTGCGCCGACACAAAATCCAGGTCGGCGCGGAGGAAGGCGTACGCCAGGCTGGACTCGACCGTGATGGAGGCCTGCTTGCCAGCTTCGGGGGACGTGTCGAAATGCTCCGGGTTGAAGCGACGAAAGTAGCCGCCTATGGTGGTTCCGTAGGCCTTGACGAGGTCGCGCTCGAGTCTGATGGCCTTGTCCATGTTCTGCGACTCGGCCGGTGGTGATTTGGCGCTCGGGAGGGCCTGTCCGTGGTTCGGGGGGTCGCCGACGAATCTGCGGTTGTCCGGGTCGGGCACGTCCATTTTCGTTTCGACGTCTTTGGCCGACTTCATGTCAATCGAGTCAAGGGCTCGTTGTTTTGACGTCGGCTTTTCGCCGATTGCGGGCTTTTGCTGGTCTCTCCCGGGCTTGCTCTTTCGCAGGCTGCTTTGCAGGCCAAACTCAATGGCTGCCTCCTCGATGTATCCGTGTAGCTCGTCTCGTAGGAAGTGAGAACATTGTGTGCCCCCGTGGCCATCAAAGACGCCAAAGTAGAATATTTGGGGATCGCCTAACACGCTGTCTGCCGGAGTGGCTTCGCCTGGTTTTTGCCTCACGCTCATGGGACCCCTCTTTGCGAAGGCAGGTATGTCCACTGTGCCGGCCTGGTCCGTATCCTCGTTATACGGCCTGCTCCCCCTGGCCGTCGCGGAGCCGAAATGGTGCTTCGCCCTCCGCAGCGGTATGCGGACCACGGTCAGGTCTCGACTCTGCATGTTGGGAATGGACACGGCGGCGGGAGACAGACCGGGACTCGGTGTATGGGGGGTCGACGCATCGCGGGGCAGTTTGTGGCCGGGGCCAATGGTGCGGTGCGAGTCCGGGTGAAGCGACGACGACGGAAGATGCGTGACAAAATACGTGTGGAAGTACTGTCGCAGTTGCTGGTCTGGGTATCGCGGCACAGGCACGTAGTTGTGGCGGCTCGTCACAAGCGGAGAGGTGCTTCGACGTTGGGCGCGAGTCTGCCGGGATGGGCTGCCGCCACGAGCCCCCGAGGCCGACGACAAGGACCTTCGTGCCGCTGTCCCCGTAGGTTTTAATCGTGGACGTGTAGCGTCTTCTGCGGACGTGGCCCTAAACGCCGAACCTGCGCCAAGAAGGGTTGCTGATGCCTTCGGCATGGAGACCCCCTCAGCCGCCATGTGAGCTGCGGCTCTGGACGCAGAGCTCCGCGCGGCGTGTCGTATGGATGCCATTGAAGGGTAGAAGCGATGCTGTAGAATAGAACCCGGCGAGGTCACGCATCAGCTCCCCCTGGGTAACCGAACACAAGCCAGCCCGCTGCGAACTACAGCCATGGGCCTGCGATGCAGAGCGGAGGAGGCGGTGGTGGTTTGGCGGGATGCTGCTCTGCGGACCGAAAGCTTCCAACCGATCAAACAAGGAGACTACCAGGACTTTGTGTCGGCGTGAAGGAGGTGCAAAGGCGGCGTTGCGGGATGAGAAGGGCTAGACAAGAGGAGCAACGAAGCTTGGGCTGGATCGACATTGAGTGTGGTTGATTGTTTGTTGGGTGTTCAGCATTCAGCATTCAGTCTGCCCCCTGCCCAACATGGTAAAGCGCCAACTGGCCTGGCCTGGCCTGGCCTGTCTTGTTCCTGGACTTCTTGGACGCAGCTGGACATCGTTGCGGCCCCCACCGATCAGATTGAAACGACCAGACATTCGACTACTGCTGATGAGTTAAAAAAAAAACAGCAATTTTTGTATTGATGGCGGGACTTTGAACCTCTCGCCACGGAGAATTTGGCCGGAGGAACGTTGGAGATGATGGTTTGGCTCGAATCAGGACCCACCTCCCGTCTCTCATGCCCTGAGTCCAGAGAGTCCAGAGTCCTCACACCTCGAATGAGACATGAGCACGCGAGTTGCCACTCACGCACCGCCAATCTCCAAGCTCACGCACCACAGTCACAATCTCTCATCACTGTCATGCTGCTCTCTCCCTAGCAAACACCGATGCCATCCCCAACCGCAAAATGGGCGAGTCTGCACCCTCCGCAGACGCCGAGTCCTCTGATGGCCCCTCGAAACCCAGCAAACCACACATCCTCCCGGACGTCGTCAACATCACTCCCATCGGTGATATCATTCTTTCCGTAACCTTCGAAACATCCGCCGAGACACTCAGGAAAACCCGCAAGGCGGCCCTCTCTGCCTCCCGCATATCCAGCCTCCCCAATGGCCCATCCGCGCCGCCACAGGTCTTGAAGCCCAAGGTCACCATTGCATACCGCGTACAGCTGGACATGCTTAAGACACACTCCCAGTACTTTGGCAATTTGCTCACAAACCCGCAATTCCGGGAAGCCAAACTCATTACCGCTGTCCATGCCGACCTAGCTGGCAGAAAGATAAAGACTTCAGAAGCAGATCCAGCTGAGCTGCCTCGTGTGAAAATTACAGACGATGATGAGGCGACGCAGTCTGCGGGGAGGGAATCCGTATTTGAGGACATGCTTCGCATCATCCACCAGGTGCCTATCAAGACGACTCGCACGGTCATGTCGTATGCGACCACGTTGGCGTTGCTAGCAGATCGATTCGACTGCCGCGCCCCTGTGTCTCGAGCCCTCATGGACATCAAGTTCAAGTGGCCCCTGACCAACACCCGCCCGTACCTGGATGAGTCGGGACGTGTGACGGAGACGGAGAAGGTCTTGCGTCAGAAGATTCTCGTGGCCTGGCTCTTGGGGCAGCCGATGCGTTTGCACCAGGCCAGCAGGGAACTAGTCATTCGGGGCTCACGGCTCTGGGGCGTATACGGCGAAGAGGACGAAGTACAGGGCGCATGGTGGCATCTCCCGGAAGGCATAGAAGGTAATAAACCCCCCCTTTCTCCCGGGGCGCGCTTCTTTCACACTCCCCAGACCTAACCAACCCACGCAGAAGAACTCCGGTACCGTCGAGAATGTATCCTGGACACCATAGCCTCCATTCAGCGCCATTTTCTTACCCTGTACGCTTCTCGTAATCGCCAGTGCAAGCTGGGGTACGACTCCAGCACCGCCTGCGACTCGTTCCAGTTTGGCCAGATGCTGAAATTCCTCCTGTCAAAGGATCTGCTGCACCTCGTGGACTTTGCGCCGTCGTCGGTGGACAACGTGCCGGATACGTCAATGGTGGATATAGACGAGCTGTTGGGGACCTTGAAACAGTGTCCCAATTACCAGATTGACAAGCACCACACAAATTGCGGGCTGAGGATTCGAATTGATCCCATTCTAGACTATGTTAGGGCCATGGTAGGTGCGGGCGTGGTGGCAATTCCGCTGGCAGATTGGAAGCGAAGGAGGGCAGATGTTTCGTGGTTGAATGAGAAGGAGGGCTTGAGGAATGTCAGAGACGCGGAAGAGGGTTCCAATGCGTTTGCCTTTACGAGGGCCCTGGCGACCGATCAGAGGTTGAGATATGAGGGCGCTTTATATGCAGATGGGATGGCGAGGCGGCTGTTCACTGCGGATACATGGGATTGGACACCAGAGGCCTAATCTTGCGACAAGTCGTGGGAATTAGACGCTTCAAGGTTGCCAACTTTTTGGTATTAAGGACTTGCTCAACTTGGATAGAACCACTATATATACGTCTAATTATTCATCCCCTCTCCACCAGTGGTGGAATTGTGTATCATGTGTTTGGGATTGACTATGCAGGGGTAGTCTTCTCCGTCACGTTCGTGGACTTCACGACTTCGCTCTCCTGCGGGCTAGAACTTCCACTGACGCTGTCCTCCCGAGCAGCGGGGGCCTTGGCCTTCATGAATGGCCAGTGGCCCTTGGTTTCCTTGAATCGCATGACGATGAAACCAGCTATTACAAAGATCCAGTAGACATTGTAGGAAATGACCGAGCCATAGGTGGCGGAGTTTTGCCAGCCGAGAATGGCGTTGAAGACACCCCAGCCGCCGTCGCTGGTGGAAGTGGGTGAGCAGCACTTGGTGACAGTCAGCAATCTGTTGCATTTTTTGACATGCACGATTGGGGGCTTTGCGTAGTCAGCTACTTACATTCACGTGCCAAACACTCTTGTCGATATCGTATGAACCTGGACCATTGCCAGTTTCTGCAGCATCACCGCCAATGGCATTGTTCCACTTTTGTGCCTCGAGATGCCAAACGCCACGGGAAAAGAGACCGGCAGCGACGAGATAAAGGAGACAGGTTGAGGCAACAAGGAAAATTTGCAGCTTGGCAGTAGAACCACCCCTGAGCACACGTTAGAGCGAGTTTCAATACCATAGTTTCCGGGCATCCCTTACTTGTACAAAAGGTAACCGATAATGCCGCCAACAAGGAGTCCAACGACGACGGGCAAGGGAACGGCATATGCAGGAGCTGAGAAGGTGACACCAGCAACAAACACAACAGCCTCAATACCCTCGCGAAGAACGGTTATGAAGGGCAGAACAAACATGGAGTACTTCTCCAGCCAGTGGGAGAAGCAGCCCCTGGAGCCGGCTTTGATGGGTGATTCGATAGCCTTGGCGAGCTTGACGCGCCATTTTGCTTGCATTTTGCCGATTCGAAGAAGGGCAGCACCCATCACTGTAATGATGACTGCGGCAAAGAGACAAAAAGCACCCTCGTAGTAGTTCTCATTTTTGTCCCAGGAATTGGATCCAACGGTATAAAAGACACCAATCAGGGCAGCAGCAACAACCATGCAGAGGAAGAATCCCGCAGCAACACCAAGCCATACCTATCACACGAAATTAGGGCTTGAAGACGGGACGAAAGTGCGTCAAACATACCTGGCGGCGAAGTGCTTTGTATGTCCTTACATCCCGCTCAGGGCCATCGAGAGTCTGTTTGAGAAAAGCAAGCAATACAGACACAATGATGACCGTCTCCAGTGTCTCTCGAAAGACGACAAGAAAGATTGGCACTGAAAATACGTCCTTGGCCATGTTGAGGAATAGCCTTGTTGTGTTTGCCAGAAAGCGATCTTGCCCAACGAAAAGCTGCCTCTTGGGGGAGGGGGGAATCAGATAAAAGAAGGCTAGGAATTTGTCGGCAGATGGAAACCTCCCAAGCCGGAGCACCACGAATGTGACAGGTACAAGCTAGTAGTTGCAGGAATGCCAAGGATTGACGGTCGCAGGGCACTAGGCGAGAGCCGAGACAGCCAAGCGGCCAAGTGATTGCCAAGAGACCCAGCGATGGGCCAGCGATGGGCCAAAGATGGGGAATATTGTTTGGTCAAAGATTCGGATCAGATAACAACCATACAGCTGGTAAGTAACCTGAAATATGTCACATCAGTTGCCTGATTGATTAGACAAGAAGCGACTCGGCCACGATCGGCCCTGGTCCCAAGGCAGCCCCTCCAAGTTGTCAGGCCACGGACGGGGATAAATACGCCGTCGGTTGAGAAAATCTTGTTTTGCTGCTCCGTTTTTATCAGTTAGCGCGGCAGCCACACGGCAAAAGACTGCCGGCGAAATTGGGTCGAAATTGTTGGAAATATTGGACGCACCAAGGGGGGCCAAAATCTTGATAGTTGGCACACGAGATGGGAGGTACACAGGAGATCCATCCTTTTGGGCAACCCGAGCTGAGAGACGAGTGGCACATGTATAAATCTCTGTTGTCATAAAGAACGGCCCAATGTCTTCCGACGCATTGCTAATGGAGATGGGGGGGCTGGGTGGTTGTAGTCAATGTAACACAACAGACGCACCGAGGGACGTGCCAACAAGATCAATGATGCGAACGCAAAAAGTTTGGCGCGGTCTACATGCACAATTGGGAATGCACATGCCGCCTACCGCGCCAAAAGCGGGGATGAGAATGTGCAGGCATTTTCGATTCGCAGAATGTGTCTCGGGACCGCTTCGAATTGCCCCTCTAGGGGCGACAAAGTTCCCAACCTTGAACTGAAAATGACTCTCTGCCACATGGCCCCCCTTGCCATGTGCGCCAAGGTATCATCAGATAATCCCTTGCATGGGTCCAGAAAGCATCTGTTAAAGTGGTGATGCTCTTTAAAGGCTTTTGCTTCATCTTTGGTCTCCGTCCTGTCAATCTAGCAAGTCAATGCCTGAGTTTTCTACAGTTAGCCATGGCACCATTGATCCGCTTATCAGATGGGGTCGTTGACTTTCAGCTAAGGTTATCAATCAATCAATCACAATCAATCAGGCCATGGGCCAGGGATAATCGATTTTTTTTTTCGTCAGGTGAGGAACCAAGCAGCCCCTCCTCGGTTTGGCGTTGCAAAAGTTGCGCCACATCCAATCAAGGAGTCAAGAGAACGCCATCGGCGGGAGGATTCAACCCTCGACCCCTCATGCAATCCGAGCTCGCTTTTGGGGAGGTGTGGACAGATGGGCTTGAGCGTAGGATGATCGTGCTGCATTGACGTCGGTAGCCAAAGTTGGCTAGCTGATACTGTTCTGCATTGTCCGCTTGTCGAGATCGGACATCCACTGGGATCAAGACTATTGCATTTTCCAGCCCTGGCCCAGTCCAATATATCGGGGTGGTGGTCCAACAGAGGAGACAGGCCGGTTCGGCTTCGTATCTGGGAATCCCGGCTAATTTCTGCGGCCTGAATCAGTTGAGGAATGGGCGAGAAGTGGTCTTCTTATCCATGTGAAGGAGAATTCCGTTCGGAGTCAAAGTTGAGCAGACTTGACTACAAGCATATGACTGCACGGGGCGGTCGCTCTTTCCTTCCCACCTGTGCGCATTGGGCCAGCTTGTGAGCTTATTTCTGCAAGTGCTCCATTTCATGATTAGGAAGGTGCGACTGCGCTAAGTCTGTTGTCAAATACACCCAACACCGTGAGCCTCGCATGAGCAAAGTTCTCCGTGCTTGAGCACGTTTTCCCCCAGATTATCTTGAGCAACATCTTCAACTACCGAACGAGGTAAAACTCTGGATCTCGATGGCGGGTCTTGTGCGATTGACAGCCGCCTTGGCTGCATCACTGAGCTTGGCGTCAGCAGCGACCATCAACCACGATTTCAACGTGACCTGGGTTAGGGCCAACCCCGATGCAGCGTTTGAACGACCAGTTATTGGCATCAATGGAAAATGGCCGATTCCTAGAATTGAGTGCAATATCGGCGACCGGCTAATTATCAATGTCAATAACCAGCTGGGAAACCAGTCGACGTCGCTGCACTTTCACGGCCTGTTTCAGAATGGGACCAACAACATGGACGGCCCATCGGGCGTCACTCAGTGCTCAATCCCACCGGGCAACTCATTCACTTACAACTTTACCGTAAGTCGAGCAGTCGAGAAATCTTATCTTCACGTGTATGAACAAGCACACTGAAATTGAGTCCTAGGTCAACCAACCTGGCACGTATTGGTACCACTCTCACAATGATGGTCAATATCCTGACGGTCTCCGTGGCCCAGTCATTGTCCATGATCCCGAGTTCCCGTACAAGAAAGAAGTTGATGAGGAAATCGTCCTAACGCTTTCCGATTGGTACCATGACGAGATTTCAACACTCATCCCAAAATTCATGAGCAAGACAAACCCAACTGGAGCCGAGCCCGTTCCCAACGCTGCTCTCATGAACGACACTCAGAACTTAACCATTTCTGTCCAACCCGGCAAGACGTACATGTTCCGTGTCGTCAATATCGGTGCCTTTGCCGGCCAGTACCTCTGGTTTGAGGGCCACAAGATGCGAATTGTTGAGGTTGATGGCGTATACACCAAAGACGCTGAAGCTGAAATGATTTACGTCTCCGCCGCTCAGAGAGTGAGCTTCCTTCTGACAACCAAGAACGAAACATCTGCAAATTTTCCCATAGTCGCAAGTATGGACACGGTAGGTTCGCATCCTACCTTGTAATAAGACAGCGTGACGGCAACTAACTGGAATCGCATAGACTCTGTTTGATGTACTCCCCCCTGAGCTCAACTACAACTCCACTGGCTGGCTCAGCTACGACAAATCCAAAGACTATCCAGCCGCTGCTCTCGTAGACGAGCTAAACCCCTTCGATGACATGACGCTCGAAGCCTACGATGGCATGGAACTCCTCCCAGAGCCCGACCGAACCGTGGAGCTTAATGTCATCATGGACAACCTCGGTGATGGTGCCAACTACGCCTTCTTCAACAACATCACCTATACGTTCCCCAAGGTCCCCACGCTCTACACAGCCCTCAGTGCCGGCGAAATGGCCAACGACCCCAGGGTATACGGCGAATACACGCATCCGTTTGTCCTGAAGAAGAATGAGATTGTCCAGATCGTCGTCAACAACCTCGACAGCGGTCGTCATCCGTTCCATCTCCACGGCCACAACTTCCAAGCCATCTACCGCTCAAACGAGTCTGCAGGTACTTTTGCAGATGAAGGTGGAGAGACGGACAAGACGTTCCCCAGGGTGCCCATGCGCCGAGACACAATGGTCATTTGGCCCGAAGGCAACATGGTCCTGCGATTCAAAGCCGACAACCCAGGTGTGTTCGATCCCCATAACCCACCAAAGCTCATACATGTTAACCAAACGAGTAGGAGTCTGGTTGTTCCACTGCCACATCGAATGGCACGTCGTTTCCGGCCTCATCGCAACGTTTGTGGAAGCGCCCACCGAGCTGCAAAAGACGCTCTCCATCCCGCCCACTCACCTCCAGGCGTGCCAAAAGGCCAATGTTGCCACTGAGGGCAACGCGGCAGCCAACACAAGGGACCTCCTCGACCTCAGCGGCCAGAGTGAGCCCCCTGCTCCCCTCCCAGCTGGGTAAGCTTCTCCATCACAATCCCTCGACACACCCTGCCATCTCATATATATGCATGGTCACTAACAACCCCAGATTCACATCCCGAGGCATCGTAGCCCTAGTATTCAGCTGCGTAACCGGCCTCCTTGGTGTCGCCGTCGTAGCCTGGTACGGCTTCTCGCAGGCCGTCGAAGAAGCCCCCAGGGCTGTAACCAGCATCATCCGCAACGCAGACATATCCGAGTCCGACAATAGCCAGATTGTATCCTCCAGTGCCAATGCCGGCAGAACTACTACCTAGCATCATCTAGCATGAACAGGACATTTCAGGATAAGGAAACGATGTACGTAATGGAGGTTGGATTGATTGATTTTTAGCACTCATATTGCAATATATCCATATGAAGCCTTTCGTTGAAACCCCCCATCCTCCCCTTTCATTAGTGCTTATGCCAGAGGCGATAAAAATACTTCCCATGGAAAAGAAAAAGGCTAAAGTTGGGCAGCGGCCCCAAAAGAAGTAAATAGTAGCAAGCCATTCCCCCTTATGAAGAAGCAAACAATAGCGAAAGACTCTCCCTGTAATTAAGATAAATAGGACCAATAGCCATTGTTTTCCGTACAAAGCCCCAATATTGATCTGCCCAAGAAATAGATCCGACGTAAAGATACAAAATATGTGCCTTATAGGGACCCTCGGAACATATTGCCTTGTGTTTAGACTAAATCCACCCAAAGCCGTGGAGTCTGCATATGCCATTGCATTATACCACGATCCATCAACCCTCCAAGTTTCCAGACGCCAATTCATGCAGTTAAAAAAAGTTGGTGGGACGCGCTCTGTCGTGCCACCGCAGCGAAAGTCAAGTGTTGCGCACGATTCCTGCCTTCAAAACAGGCATCTCTGCGCCACCAGGGAAGAGAAAGTGTAGATGTCCTCAGGTGCCTCCATGTCTATGGAACCTAGACCAACCACATACCACCCCGCCAAGACCAAACGAGGTCCGCACACGGCTCATCTGTGTCGTAGGATTCTTAGTCGTCGTAGACGCCTGCACCGTGTCAAGATCGTCACGTCTGCAGCTAAACTATACACGTTTGGCCTTATTCTTGCGGGGGAGGCCCTTCTCCTTGCGCATTTTGATATCAACATCAGCAAGCCACTTGCTTGCGTTGTATAACTGGACTCCGTTGATAGCCTGCTTAATAACCATGAAAGGCAAGCTGATACCAGCAATAGCCCAAGGAATAAGAGAGTCCATCTTGTTGGCACGGGCAATTTCTAGCGCAGAGGCGCTAAAGGGGTCGGGGAACATCTGTCGGAGCAGCGAGGTGTTAACTGGAGCACCGGGGTTGACGAAACCACCACTCGTCTCTTCGACGCTCTTGATCAGGTGGGGAGACAGCCAAGGAGACGAAAAGGCCAGAAGGTAAAGACCGATGAAGAAGAGCTCATTGAGAGCGCACAGAGTAAACAAGACATTCTGCGGAACATATTCTTAGCCCATGCTCTCAATATCACGGTCCACGATATTGTTTTTGCCTACCTTGTTGGTGTAGTACAAGTTAAGGAGCCAGTTCTGACTCTTATCAATGTTCTTGTGGCTCGAGTCGGAGCCGCCGACGACGAGGGTGGCATACATGTGCATGTAATGGCTAGAGAAGTCGAGCGCAATCAGGCCCTGAAACAGAATAGCCCATCTGGGGAAGGCAGAAGACAGAAAGACGAGCAGACATGAGGTTGTGCAGCGATCAGTAACCATGTCAAGGACGGCACCGAAGCGAGTAGACTGTTCGAAAATGCGGGCAGCATAGCCATCGAATGCATCCAACAGGCAGGAGATGCTATAGAGGACCGAGCAGGTTCGCGGGTGGACGGGCATGTAGTATAGGGAGGCGATGGCGAGGACGATACGGATGTAGCCTAGAGATGCGCGAGCGTTAGCAATCGCCCAAGAATGCAAGAACAAGGCATCGTGGAGCTGCGCACCGATAATATTGGGCCAGAACAGAAAGATATTCTCATCTTCCTCGATGTCCGTGGCTTCCGGAGTGTGGTGAGCAGAGCCATTGCCATTCATGATGATGGGCTTCTGATCGTCATCGGATGAGGCTGCAGCTGCAGCAGCTTCGCGCAGCTTGGCAGATTTCCTTCGGGTCTGACGGGTAGACATTTTTGCGGTGCAATTGTTGCAAATTGCAAAAGAAAGAGAATGCTTTGCTAGGGGCGTCAATAGGGATGTCGAGAAGACCGTACGATGGCAACTGACATGATGCGACGGCAGAGGTGTCCGCGTGGCACGGTTTTATTCTCGTTTCGAGGTCGACCGGGAGAGCTGGGGATGCGCGACCGAAGGGGCCGACAGGGTCCTGGGGGTGACGACGCAGGCAGGACAGCAAAGGAAAAAGTCGAGCTTCCGCCAAAGGAGGAAGACGAAGAAAAAGAGACGGTATACTTTGGAAATGATGCTTGAAAGATCCGAGTTCAGGACAAAAAACGGCACCGGTAGTCGGCAGGAAGGAGCGGATGAGAAGGAAGAAAAGCCAAGAAGCCAAAGTGCGATAAGGAGAGGAGAGGCGTGGTGGTCGGAGGCAATTTACAAGTGGGTTCAGGATTGAATTGTCCAAGGCCCCGAGGAAACCTGGTGATGACGGCAGCTGCCGCCAAACTTTCCAGCCAGTCCCAACTAAACCAGTCTGAACAAGGCTGTTGGTCTCAGTCTTGAAAAATCTCCAAGTGCTCCTTGGCCCAAGGTGCCACAAGCAGGGCCCACTTGAGCAGGCGCGGAGCCTCTTGGGTTTAGCCCGAACTAGACTGGGCACGCTTGTTGACTTCTGTTGTTAGTACATTTGCTGTGCCAGATGTCTGCAGCCTCCTCAGTCCATTAGCACCTCGAAACCAACGACTACTCCCGGGTATTTCCAGCGTCACATCTTCTGTGCTCCAGGACGAGTAAGATATTTTTTTTCGAGCTGCCTATTGTTACAATCAACAGCCCGTATCTCAATTGTGACGTTTTTTTTTTTTTTTTTGGTATGTACTCCCAGAGGCTCTCTTCAACCTCTCCTCCCCTTATCAGCATCCACGCACTTTGCACGTTCAGTTTTCACGCGCGTGCCGAGGTCTGTTAGGAGACGCATCTCACCACCATGGCCGTCTTGATTGGCCATTCGCAAGCTTGGCCGTGGGACCCTTAATGCGCAGCTCAAACTGTTCCAGGTTAAACTGGTCATCATTGTCATTCTCCTATGACAGGCTTGGGGCGGCAACAAGGGTGAGGTGTCTATCTCCGCCTCTAGTCAGCGGCTAACCACTTCTCTCCGCAGTGGCCCGTCGATAAAGGTGCGTGATATTTTAGTCCGACGTATCCAGCATCGCAACGCAGGATGAGATGCTATTGACGTTGGTCCATACTCGGGGTAGGCTCGCATGCAGATACCGATAAGGACAAGCAGATAAGGGCTTAAGCTCGGCCCGGAATTTTAACAACAGAAAAACACCTTCGGGGGGACGCGGCTCATTTGACTTCGGCATGTAGAAGAGCATATTGCAAACATCTGCCACTCCCCTTGTCCCCAGAAAGGTCGCTGTGGAGCAATTACGCCATAGAATGGATGCCGTGATGTTGACTACATCTCCTTTGGTCAGACATATGGGTGTGTTTTCTGTCTACCAATGCGACTTACTTTGCGGGCAATTCGGGGCCCTCGCCGAGGCGGCTCAGACAAGGGTCATGCCAGTTAGTTAATGCCTGACTTGAACTGGTCCCGACATGCTGTGATGTGTCATGGTGGCCAGGGATGGCGGTTGACCATCATGTAAATAAGAATGTGAATTTGGCCCTGGTTTTCGAAGCAACTAGTTTCTAACCAGCGCCGCTTCTGCCCTCAGCAAACAGTCGCGCCGGCACAGTGTTGGGTTTGGGCCGAAGCTTGATTGTTTAGCTAGGAAGCTAAAATTATATGCTTAAAGTACATTTAGTTGGCGGTGTTCTGCTGTGTATTAAAATATTCCTAAAAAACTACCCCAGGCTTTGGGAAGATGTTTGCAGATACAGTCTCCTGGATCAGCGGACTTGCAGCTAGCCCATAACACAGTCAACTTGACAGGGTATAGATAGACGGCCGAAAGGTTCCTCCTGTACTTGCAGCACCATTTCATAAGAAGCCAGAAATCCTACGGTCGCTACAGGTCATATAGAGTTTCCAGTGTGTCTCGCGAGGCACTTGCATAATGAACACAAGGACTGAAGTACTCCGTATCAACGCTAGACAATATTTTAGGAAGTGAAACGGGGATGCCAGGAACAAACGAAAATATTCTCAAGTAAACGGCAAGGAATGACAAGCGTCACTGGTGTAAAAACTGCATGTCAGTTGAGGCTGGAGCGACGCAAAATGCTCCATAATTCGCAGACAAATCCTCGGACGATTGTTGCGGTCAACTCGCAAGACCCCAATCAGCCACCATCAAGTCCTGGTTTCTTGCGGACGGAAATTTAGGTTCTATGAAACTCGCCGTAACACTTCCCTTACTACTTTGACTTGCATAATAGCACAGTTCGGGATATCCATCTTTGCTGCATTTGTCGCATTTAACTAGACCTAATCCTTGCTCTCTTCTTTCGCTGGTGCAGCGCCTTACATCAGTGGAAAAGGGCAGCCCGCTCGGGTGACCAGCCTGCCGCCGCACACACGGCGCGCTGCAATTATACCATTTGACCCTTCGATATACTATAAATTCTATAATGTCAGTATTTCTACCTACAAAATAGTCTTTGATTGAATTAGCTTTATATTTCCAAGTAAAAGGGCTAGTGATCTTCCCACCGATTTTATTTTTAATATAAAAATCCCTGCACTGGATGGCCGACGCGTCGACTTGGCAACGCGTCAATCGCGTCAACCTTTGCGTGTTAGTGAACTTCTTCGTTTGACGACTGGCTGCTCCTTCCCTCTGCACATCTGGGTCTTGTTTTCCCTGCAAGCAGACAATCATGATATCAGACCAAGAATCTGCTGCGGCGATGGTGCCTGCGGCAGAAAACAACTCGGCACGACCCAGCGCTGTCGTCGAGACTCCCGAGGGCAACAATCTGGGCGTTGACGGCTACGACGTCGGGCTCATGGACGACCTTCTCAGCGCTCTATCAAGCATCAAGACCCCAGGATCCTTTGCATCGTTCGGTGTCCTGCCTCAACCGCCGCCTGCCGGCCTGTTCGTCGACAACGTAGGCGACATTACCATGCCCCTGAGCGAGGTGCAAGCCCGCCAGCTGATCGCAAAGGCTCGCCAGGCGCCATACGGCAAGGGGAGCGCCACCATCGTCGACACTGCGGTTCGAAAGACGTGGGAGTTGGACTCAGGGCAGTTCAGGTTCCAAAGCCCACATTGGCCGGGCTTCATGCGGCATTTGTGTGCCCAAGTCGCCTTAAATCTAGGCATTAATGCCCCCATCGCGGCCCAGATTTACAAAATGCTCATCTACGAGAAGGGTGCCATGTTCAAGGCACATACCGAGTACGTTCTTCTAGGATCTCGATAGCTATGGTCGCCGTCAGACTGACTGGACATACTACGCAAGCACCGAGAAGATTCCTGGCATGTTCGGCACCCTCGTCGTTTGCCTACCGTCAGCCCACCAAGGCGGAGAGGTAGTTCTCAAGCACTGCGGCCAGAAAAAGGTTTTCAAGACATCTGAGGCCCCTCAGTCCTTCGCCTCGTGGTACTCGGACGTGTCGCACGAGGTGCTGCCCGTCACCTCGGGCTTCCGATGGGTTCTGACTTACAACCTCGCTCTTCACTTGACTGGGCCTGGTCCGTCGGCAGGCTTACAGCAGTTTGAGACGGGAGCGCTCCGTCGCACTCTCAAACGGTGGCTCAGCGAGCCCAAAGAGTCGCGCGAGACCAACTGCGTGTACCACGTGCTCGACCACGACTACACTGAAGCCAATATTTCGCTAAAGGCGCTGAAGACGCGAGATTTGGCGCAGGTCCATGCCCTGAAGGAGATATCCGGGGAGTTGGCGGTTGATGTGTTCCTCGCACTACTAGAAAAGAAGGAGATGGGAATGTGCGAGTACGACCCCGACGAAGACAGGTACGACGGATATAGGAGATATAATCGTTCTTACTACAACGACTACAACGATGATGAATCCAGCCATCACTATATTGAGGAAGTTCTTGACACGAGCTATGCAGTGAAGACTCTTGTCGACTTGGAGGGCCATGTGGTGACGACGCGTTTGCGCCTCGATGAACAAGACATCCTCCAAGAAGACTGCTTCGAGGACCTTGAAGAAGCGAAAGAGGAGTACGAAGGGTATATGGGAAACTCGGTGTGTCTCTATTGGCTGCTCAATCCACCCTAGTTGCAGGATTGCTGGTAACAGCTGGACGTATTAAGACGATATTTTCTTTCTCGGGGCCCAACGGCGACGCACTGGTATCGAGTAACGGTATGTCACCTCTTATTCTTCATATTTGTCATCTCTAGTCACCACTCACTCAACAATTTAGGCCGCTGTCATCGTTCCCCGTGATTCGCTCCTGTCCTTCTTTGATACCTACGATGAGGATAGTTGCTGCCCATCCCATCACAATTTCAAGACACAGATCCGGTATTTGGCCCGAGCATGTTTGCAACCACAGCACCCCCCAGTCTTTCGTCAATGCGCTGGTAATGTTATCCAAGCAGGCGTGGAACATCCGCCGCAAGACCATCGGAGGGTTTGGCGCACAGGAACCGTGGATCGATGGGGACGGCATACGGGACGTTCTTACGGCTGCCATCCAGCACGGAAAATATAACTTCTTGCAAGAGGCTGCTGGCCATCACGAAGGCCTTCTGCCGCCAGATTTCTTTGTCTGGGTGCGGCAGTGGTTGCTTACTGGCGATAGCAATACTAATGAACGGTTTAATGTTATTCAAAGCGGGTATGCTTGCTAGATCATGTGGCCCTTTCGAGAGCTAACTATAGTAGGATATCTTCTGCCATTTCCTCCTATCCTTACTTCGCCGATCAGTTTACCGCCATCACGAAATTGGTGCCCATGTCAAACGACGCTTTGACTCCTGACACCGCTGCTACTCCTGATTATATTCTAGACTGGGCTCGCGGAAAACTCCGCTCTTGCATGGATGCCTGCGCTTCCGAGTCTCTGGGCCGCGAAGATGGGCCTGCCATGGTGGATCTTGCCTTGTTTTTCAATGATCCCCCGACCTTTATGTCGCAAATGTGCGTTGCACCAGCTTCATTGGTTCCTGCCTGCTATTTGTATAACGCTAACTATTTTCTCAGCATTTTGCCCAGGATCGATCAAAGACATGATGCCGCGGCCTTCTTTCTTGCATTCCTGGCCCGGCTTCGACAGCAAAGCAAAAATGGAATCTTGCCAATGGGAAATGCTATCCAGTTTTACCAGGCCAAGGCCAGATACTTCATCACTTTGGCAGATTTCACACAAATGCGTGGCGACGCTGGAGGCCAGGCGATTCCAACCAAGAAAACACCACACAATTGTGAACAAGCCCAAAAATTGGACCGCCGAACAGCCATCAGTTATGAAGTGCTGGCCGATTTCTTCTCAGCCATCATCCAGTCAAGCACAGAAGCAGACGACCTCGTAACGCTATTCGTTTCCAAACTCGTCGTCAAGGCTCAACAGCTCCCAGCACTTGAATTCCACGCCTTGTGGCTTCCCTTCCTACGCCGTCTTATACCCATTCTTGTCTCCAACACTATACCTCTGGACAACCCATATTGTCAACAGCTCTTTTCGGCCCTTCTACACGCGTACGTCAATAAGTACGTAGGGCACAAGCCCACCGAGAAGACAAGCCTGATACGGCCCGGTGTACGCTGCCAATGCTCCGACTGTCAGTGGCTGAACAGGTTTCTTGCTGGCACAGAAAGAGTCGGCCGCTTTTCCGTAAATAAAAAACGACGTATGCACTTGCACCAGCAGCTCGACTCCGGGGGAGTAGACTGTACCCATGAAACGTGGCGGTCGGGTTCACCCCAAACTCTAGTGGTAACCAAGACGTTCCGACACAATGAGAAGAGGCTTCTGGACTGGAAATCGCGGTTGATGTTGGCGAAGGAACAGATTCGAAAGTTCGAGCCGCTCCACCTCTCGCTACTTCTTGGACCGAACTACCTAACTATTGTCAATATGGAGCATCTCTCCGCGGCGCCGGAGCGGGCTCAGGGTCAATCGCCGGCAGTGGTTTCAGGCTCCTCACGGGCGGCAGACCAACCTCGTGGGCCATTGCAGGCAATTAGCTCCACGAGATTGCGCCAGTCACCCGTTGCTGGAGTGAAGAGGAAGTTGCCTCCCACAGAGATTGACATTATTGATTTGACTGGAGAGTAGGGTGGCGGCGCAGAACGGCATGGTTTAATAATACCGACTCGTGTAGAATAAAAAACCCTCGCCAGCTCTTGTTCTTGTTCTTCTTTCTCTTGCCTCCTCTTTATCGCAGCATCCCGCCCCGTGATGGAGTTTGCGCCTGCGTACGGAGTAATGTTCTCCCTTTGTTGGCATTGCGGGTTTGTATACTGGACCTGATGCCCAGCTGCTGGATACCATTGGGATGGGCAATTAGTAACACGACATGTTTGATAACTCTCTTACATATGAATACCTTGCCTGCATTGAGTTCGGCAAACTTGGGGATTTAAATAAGTGTGGCGCTGTGCAAGCAATTAAACAGTTAATGTTACCTGATAAGGGGGCCCTCACAGAAGTACGGGGTATATCACACAAAATATGTACGGAGTACAGGCCTGTTTTTTTAATTTTTTGTGTGACAGTTGAAATTACGGTCAAGCGAAAGGAATGTATGTATTGACCTAACCCCGCTCCTTTCCACATTACACACCATATGTATATTTTATAAGAGGATTAGTACTCTTTACTAGGGTTTATATTCCTTTTTATTCTCCTTGTATCGCCTTATCAGCCCGGGCGGGCTCCTTGATTTCTCTCGGAAGAAAATACAGGGTCCACTTTAACAGCTGTTAGTGAATAACCTGCCAGCTGGCCCACTTACTGATGTTATACATGGCTAAACTTTCAGGGTCTGAATTGTATGTAGGGTTCAACCACTGACAGCCAGCTTGGTCTGAAGATTTCTGTCAGGCCATTTCATCTATGCACCCATCGGAAAAACTCGAAAGCCAGCAATAGAACGACACGGCCCAAATCATCTCGACGTCGTGATTACCACACCGCAATGGAACTCCCAGACTGGTACTATCGAGTGTCGGTCACCTGCGACCTAGAGGACCGGGAGGTTAGAGGAAGTGACTTTGACGAGGACATCTCAGAACTGGGAGAGGGTGAGGGCGACAGCGAAGGTAGTGGCTCAGACGCTGCATGCGAAGGTGACGGTGAGGATGGATGCGAATGCGGCAGTGAGGATGAATGCGAATGCGACTCCTGGGAGGATGACGACGAGGAATCGGAACTTTCATATACAGGAAGCGATGCCTATAACTACTATGACTTAAAGCGCCAACGCATAGCCCGGAAGATACGCTTACTAGACGAAGAGGAACAAGTGCCGGAAAACCCAATAGTCTACCCAGCCTATGAGGCTATTCTAAAGGCCCAGAACGAGCGAGGCTGCCCTGAGAATGAAGACCGGGCGGAAGAGGCTCGTGGCGAACAGGAAGTCTACGCAGCCTATGAGGCTATGCTGGAAGCCCAGGAAAGGGGAGACTGCCCTAAGCTAAAACCCATCTTTAACCAGATGTTTACGCTATATTCCGTCGATTTTCACGACTATTGTTCCCATGAGTGGTTCTTCAGGACGCCATACGTCGAGTTCAGTGCTCTCTGCTGGGACCCGGACGATGTAATAGATCCAGAGGAGACCATGGCTTATGGCCACATATACTTGGATTCTGATTCTGTCAGCGAATTTGCAGCCTTTTGGCCTCCAAGAAGGGCTGGCCAGTTAATGATACCATTATCTAATGGACCGGAGGAATGCAACCCCATCATTCAATTCATTAGTGATGAATACTTGATCATGACCGTTAGAACTGATTTGGACATCGTCGCAAATCGCATTCGCATTCGCAACCCCGAGGCCACAAATATACCTGATGTCTTTCACTTTGTGGGCATTAGGGACGGCCAATACGACAAATGTGACTCTGACGCATATGAATTTGACTCATAGGGGCGAACAAGCTGCAAGCGGGAAGAAATGGAGAAAAGCCGGTTTTGATTGAATGAACGAATTATTTTCCGTCTGGAGAGAGGAAAGCCGGTCTAAGGGATCTGCACGCTTCCTGTCACCCCGTGACTCCTGTTCTCGATGTTTGAAAGCACCCCGAGATATTCGCATAGTGGCGTCAACTGCCGCCGATTTTAGCGGTTACAACCGTGGCATTTGGCTTCATTACACAGACGGCAGCTGGGACCTCTCCGATCTCAAACGAACCACAGTTTCCCGCTCGACGCCATCGGAAAGTTCCACCGCACACCCTCTTCGGCAAAGCTCTTCCGGAGACACCCATCTTGATTGAGCTCCACGACGGACTGTTTTCGGCAGTAGCCCTTCCAAAAACGTTGGGTATACTCGGCCATCATATGTCTAGCACGCGGTGGCTGGACTGGTCGTTGATGCCTTTGCGCAAAGCCTCTACGAGATTATGGCTGCTGATGCCGGCAAAACCTGCCAAGAGCAATCTTTCAAAATGACGTTTCCGCCTAGGCTTTGGATAAGCACTTAATTTTCCTGAGAAAAGATGGTTGAAAACATTTCAAGAATATTTTAGTTCTTTCCTTATATTATTTGCTGAAAATATATAAAGTCAAGTCGGTACAATACTCAAAACCTAGTTGTGGCGCTGATGCCTTGTGCGCAATTTTCATCTCTCTCACAGCTTACTCGTCTCGACGACAGTCCTTGGTGTCTAAACATGTAACTTGGACGAATGGCACTGCGAATCTTGCACAATTTTATTGTTCGTGGTTGCCCTCCATGCTCTTCGGCAATCGCGGAGGAGAAATGTCGCAAAACTGCAGCTGAAGGGACGAGGCGGAAAGGCGTCAAACTTTGCCCCCTCAAATGGTTTAACCGCCCAAGCCTCGTGAACACGATAGAGTTTTGCGGCTGAATAACTCTTATCGACTATTGTATTTTGCAGAATCATGTTCTACGTATGCTCAAGCATGGCTGCTCCCTCGGAAATGTCTCGCAAGCGGTGTCACATTATCGTGAAAAAACAGAGGCGACCTGGCGCCACTGACGCTGCGGGGACGCATACAATACAGCAGGACATGGAATATCATGGTTGACCACAGAGCGTAACCTGGATAGAGGCAAAAGTTGCGCTTTGAGCCCGACCTTTGTCCTGTAGCACCTACATCACCGGTTGCCTGCGTAGCAAATCTCATGGAAAGGGAATAGCATTCCTTGGTGCACATTTGAAACAATCAATGTCACCATTCAGGTAGTGTTACTATCTGCGACACTTACTTCTTACGTGTTGTTCATTATACCTTTTGCAAATACGTCGTTATTCCACATCGAGTCTCTCACTACACCCAATGCCTCTGGCTTAGACCGACCACTGCGGTCGGTCTCATCCCTGCTGTCTTTGCTGCCGCAAGCTCATCCTTCACCACAACCTGGGTTGAGCAGTCCCTGTGACTCAAACTCGGCCGAAGGAGAGTCAGTGAACCCCTGACGGTGGGAGAGACGCACAGTGAGGGATGCTGGGGAGAAACGAGTGATGTTCAGCAAGGCTTCGAGTGCGGGTCATAATGAAGTAATATATAACGTAGTAGCAACGGAAACAAGGTTATGTGTAAGTTGGAAGCATTTTGTACGTGTTATTACCGTAGCGCTCAAATTATATTTATTCCAACATGAGCAACTTGGAAAGAAATGGAGATGAGTCGTTGGAGGATTATTGTCAAATTATGCTTTTCCTGTTGTGCAGCAGCTGTGGCGAGCTTATGCTCTCGCATTAGTACAGTGGCAAGAGCTATTTTCAGGTTTATTTCTTCTCATAACAAAGCCTACAAGCCCCTGAATGGCCACCTTAGTCATGTCTTACGCAGCAAGAAGACTAAGCAAAAGGCCAAGGCAAGGACTTGGCTGCGTGACAATCAACAATGGTGCCGGTAGTCAGCACCACTTCATTTTGCTAAAGAAGCCTTGGATGATGCTAGTGAATCTATCCAGAGGTAATTCTATGAGAAAATGGAACATGCGGTGAACGAGGGGCGCTGTCGGGTAAGACTGTCTCTGTTGGTTGAGCAAGCAGACTTGACGTACTTGCTAGATGGTATAAAATCATTCATATTAGTAGTTTAAGAGGCTGGCTAGCGATCTGATGAGGCCAGATGGCTGGGAAGTAGTCTAAACTCAAGATGAGTGGCATGACTCTTCTGAAGAATAGAAAGAGACAACGTGATCCCACTGCCCAGGAGTACCCAAGGCGACAAGCTCGTCATGGAGTGCTCTGCGCATTTGTCTAATCCGCCCGCTCATCTCTCGGAGATCCAAGAGCCATTGACGTTCGGCAGAGCAATGCAGTGCGCCAATCTTTTCTCCGTAGAGACCCATGTTCTTTGAGAAGGACTGAGAAACAGCTAGTTCGAGTGTGGTAGAAACCATAGGCGCAGCTGTTCCCTTCATGTATATGTAATAGTCACTCGTCCCTAACTTTCTTTGAAAAACTAAAGACCTTTGATATCCTATAAAATCCATCTTTTGTATTGAGTCATTACGCTCTAAGCCCTTGTATCAGGCCCTTGTCACAGACGAGGTAAGAACGCTTGCTGCGGATATAATAAGGGGAGGGTGTGCAACTTTTGATCCTGTGAGCCCCTCGAGCTACTAAGCATCCGGCATACGAAAGATCCCACGCCCGGAGAGGTCCGTATAGGTATTTTGAGGCCATATGTCCGCAAAACTAGAAAGAAAGATGTTGAACTATGGATACATAGCTAGATGGACATTGACGTTTTGACCCCGAGGGTGGTGAAAGCGAAAAGAGAATTCCCTCACTTCTACCGTCAGTGTTGTCCGCTTCTCGTCCGCTTTTTTGGAAAAAGAGACTTTCAATGTGTATCTCTGTCTGTCCCTATGCTCATCTAAGAGGGCTATTTGTCTATAAAAGATGTGGGAATTTCGTTTGCGAGACAAGCTCGAGAACCACGGCTTGTTTATTAGCCGTACCCCCTTGCCGAACAAGTTGCATACTAACGCTGTAGGAAACCAAACCTCTTTTGTGACAAGGGCTTGATATCAAGGGCTTGGAACGAAGGGGTTCCATTCAGAGATAATCAAGTAGGGTGTTAAAGGTTCTTGGTTTTCTAGGTGGGAGGGAGGGAGGGAACAGTAACTATTATATATATATATATATATTAAGAGAACGGTATACTTAGGGCTCTTACCGGGGCAAGTATTTAATCTTAGTATTACAATTGCCGATTCTAGGATAGAAGTTCATGTGAAAACCACCTATATTACTACATAACTCGCCCCGTCCATCTCCTCATTCTGATTTCGGCGGCCACTTCACGCGCCGCTCCGCCCTGACATATAAATTATTCGGCCGAATCAACTGAAAGTACGGGTCGTACTCGACCGGACCATCCTGCGCCAGCGAAAACTTGTACCGGTAAACCAGTTTCGGCAAAAAGACCTTAATCTCCTGCAGGGCAAAGTTGAAGCCCACGCACATGCGAGGCCCAGCGGCAAACGGCACGTACGAGCCCGCCGGCCGGTTCTTGACCTTGTCCGTGTCCCAGCGGTCCGGATCAAACCGCGTCGGGTTATCCCACAGGCTGTCGTTGTTGTGGATGTGGTGCAGGGCGGGAATCACCACCGAGTCCCTGGGCAGCTTGTAGCCGCCAGGCAGGATCATGTCCACCTTGGACGTGCGGCCAGGCTGGTACGAGGGGTTGTGCCGCCTTTGCGTCTCCTTGATGAACTTGTCGAGGAAGCCGAGCTTGTTGGTCAGGTCGGCTGTCACTTGGGTGTCGTGGTCCCAGCCGTTGTCGACCAGCTCCTGCAGCAGGCGCTCCTGGTTTCCGGGATACCGCACCAGGCTGTATATCAGCCAGGAGAGCAGCGAGGATGTGGTGGTGAAGCCGGCGCCCGTCGTCACGAGGAGCGCAGAGACGAACTGCGTGGGCGGCAGCTTCTTGCCGTTGTTGTCTGTTGCTCGCAGCAAGTAATCTGCCGTCATGTGTTAGCCGCTGTGTTTATGGAACGAGAAGTCAGCAGCTACTGTCTACTTGCGTACCGACAACATTTTCTGCTTCGAGGGCAGCGTCTTGAAGGTCCAGATCAACTTGGCCCTTGGACGCCTTGGCCATGGAGTCTATAATCATCTCCTCTATTCTGGCCGTGCTCTGCCGCAGTCGTTTGGGATCGCCAAATGGCATGTGGGCATACCATGAGCCCATGCTCGTAATGCGTTTGTTTAGTTCCAGGTTGAGGGCAATCTGGTGCACCATTTCGTGCAAGGGGGCATCCACGCCGGTGAAGTGTTGAAAGTCCATGCCCATAACAAGCTTCCCTACTGCCTGGGAACCGAGTTTTAGCATGTACTGGTATACGTTCCAAGCTTCACCGCTCTCGTCGAGCTCGTCAAAAACTCCAAACGCCTGTTCGACGGTGCTTTGCATCGTAGGCGCATAGTGGCGCACTGCCTTGGGCCCGAGGGCCGGAGGCAGAAACTTGTGCGCAAGCCGCCACTGCTCCGTGTCTGTATCTGACAAAAAGACACCTGCTTCGACTGACTTGATGGGGTGTAGGGGATGTCCCGGAACAATTCGCTTGCTAAAGAAGTCGCTTTCTTGGAAGAAGATTTGCGACAGCTTGGGGTCGTTTGTTTGGTAGACCTTACTACCCATATTATTGGTAACAATCAAGGGACCGTACTTTTGGAAAAGACGCTGATGGTTTCCCAGATGGTCTGGGTACACCTCGAAGTAGTTGCCAAAGTACGGAAGACCTGCTGGGCCAGGGACTTGCCGAACGCCCTGGCCGTCGATGGTGATGACAACTGGGTCATCCGCGTCTTTGACGTCTGAGACTGAACTTAGACTCTGATTATTAGAGACAAATCCAACGCCTGAAGACGAGTTAGAAAGCGGTTTGAATTATGCGTCTTCTTTTTCAATTCTTGCCTTGGTGATCAACTATGTTGAAGT